ACTATTCATGAGTTATGATTATAGTTGAAGCGGCAAGTTTTACATCCTCCATATTCGGGCAGGCCAACTGTCATGACCTGACTTAGCTGGGCCCAGACCAAGTCCATGAACTAGTGTGCATGGGGGAGGGGCCTAAGTGATTACTGTACAAAATCATGAGTGCTAAATATTTTTGTGCAAACATATTAAATTGATAAAATAATTTCAGAGTTTCCCTCTTATAGTATGATGCTGCTCTTCCCACCTATAAAGTTTTACTTGTTGCCTTTAGCTAGTTAGCTCAGTTAGCACCAGTTTTGGACTATGAGGAAGTAGAGCTTTTCAAGCCCCTGCTGTTTGAGAAGGCAGGGTTAAATGCTGGCTGGGAGAGGCCATGGTATGAAAACCAGAGCTTGGCAAGCAGATAACTGAACTGCACTAAGCTGCCTCCAAGTGAACATGACAGGACTGGAACTGACTGTCAAACAGAAAATTCAGCACCAGGGTGATTGGCAGTGGCTCAGACCATGACTCTGATGTTCACCTTGGTAATGTAGAATCATCTGCCAAAATATATATATTTTAAATGTATATAAAAGTGTCCTTATGTTATAACAGCATTCTGGTTAACATGCTAAAAAAATATATTTGAGTATTAGCCTATTGGACAATTAGCTATTGTTATCAGTTTCAAATGAAACGGTAAAACTGGCAGGGGTTGTGTTTAACACATTTGTGACATGTTTCAGTACATGTTCACAACAGCTATCAACCCACATGTGCAAAAACTATCCTCTATATATCAGTGCAGCTAATTACAGTCAAATGAAATGGTGGTCAACGTTTGACCTTAAATTAAACTCAAGCACAAAGAGTAGTATGTGTGTTTTTTTACGTTTCCAAAACGATGTAAATCTAATGTGCAAACTGCCGAGTCTCATGCACACAGGGTTTTATTTAAAAACCCAAAATACACATATAAACACTCTCTTAGCATACAAACACACACTCATACACACAGCTGCCAGCCATGTAGGCCAGCTCATAACGTGTTCCTTCTCAACACGCTTCAATAGCAGTCAATGCTGTAAGGCAGAGAGACAGGGATATAGAGAGGAAAAAAAGGGGAGAAGACATGCAGCAAAGGACAGCGAGTGAGATAAATATCAGCGGCCCTTGGTATAGATGTATAGATAGAAAGCTTAGAGTAGCATGAAGGTGAAAAACACCCATTTGTTTTTCTATTCCCCGCGTTCCAGAGGCAGTGGTTTTTAATAGAGAAACATGAATGTAAGTCTTTAATTTAGTCGTTGCCTCTTCACACCCCCTTCTCATTCTCTCTCTTCCTCTGCGTCACTCCCCTCCACCTCTTTCTCTCTCTTTCACCCCATCTCTTTTCAGTAACGAGAGGATTAGCGGGAGACGAGCCCATGTCAGCTGAGGATGTGGGGAGAGCGGAAGGCACAGAGGAAAAGGGAGGTGAAGAGGAGAGAAGGGTGAATGAAAGGCGGTATCGAACGCTGACCTGTTTTGGGCTGATAAGCACAGGCGGCTTTGTGCTGGAGCCACTGGCTTTAATTTGGGGGCCGCAACATTTGGAATTAATTATCACTTGCACTCCAGCACTGCTGCGGCTTACTGTGTACATGGCTATTACATCCTCTCCAATACAAACTTTATACAGCTTATGTTCTGGTACTGGTAGCCATATTACTGTAATGATACATTTGCATAAAATTGAGCTACACAACAATGTCAGAAAAGTCAACAAAGTGGTGTGTGAGGGCTGCCCTCCGCTAAGAACTGTTCAGATTATGGCAAAAAAGAAACTGGAAAACGTCCTTTTTTAATGAAAATGATGAAGACCGACATGTAAAATATAGCCGCTACAAGTTAAAGTTATATGCAACCCCTTATGTACTTTAATATCCAGTAGGATTTTTGATTTAGGTTAAATTAAATCTTGAGACATTTGAAGAGATCTGAGTTGAGTCAAAGGTCTACCATCTTACCAAATAATGATCTTAGATGTTCTGCTAGCTTGCATGCTAATTTGCTGTTTGTGAGTGAGTTTGCTTTTTTACCTTGTAAGTTAGCAGTGACCATTATGTTCAAAATGAATAGAGTGAATGTTACAAAAACAATGGTGACAGCTCAGTTTTTAGGACATTTTTTTTTAGTTTCAAGACATGTAGCCTACATGTAGTCTGTTGAAAACGACACTGCTCCGTTGCTTTTGACTGTATGTTTTATATTTGAGATCGTTTTACCCCAGCAGACATTGAGAGAGTGTGGGTACAGAAAGGAAGAAATGGAAAGAATGATGGGCTAAATCTGGCCCAAAGTCAGAAATTAGTGTTTTAGTTTGGTATCAGCACTGATTAGTTGTTTTGTACATGATCACTTTAAACATACTGCAAAAAGAAACACACAGCTTCTCCTTCAAAGTTAACATTTAATTTTGACTTCCTTTAACATGTCTTCCATGAACTGTACATTATACCGTCAATTAACATGCCGCTTTTCATAGACTGTGCAAAATATATAAGAACAAATCAGCTCAAATATGCATACGAGATTGAAGAACAATGTAGAAACATAGCAACAAAACGGAAAGAAAATCAAATTTATGTGCAACTTGAGTCAAAGTCTGGAACTCAGTCTATGCCTGAACTGTCAGCTTCAGCTTGTTTTTTTCCTCACACCACCTCTGTCGGCAGCCATGTGAAGCCACTTCTCTGTTCAAAACTGTTGCAGTCATTGGCTTTTGTCAAACAGCACCTTGAAAAAGCAAAACAATTGAAACAGTAGTTTAGTCTTTTGTATCATACTGTATGCTACACACACAAACAGACACACATTTCACCAATGAATTTTCAAAACCTATCTTCTATATTTTCATCATTTTTATGACTTTAGTTTAATGTAGCAATCAGGAGGATGAGGAGAAGAAAATTTGGAGAAAAGGAGGAGGAGAAAAGCAGAAAAAGAGGAGGACAAAGGGGAGGAAAGGATGAGAAGGAACATAGTGAGAAAAACCTGTCATAAACAAAACATTTATCACATTTCTTACCAGTGACGATCGTCTTCTTGATCAGCCTTAAGACCGATATTTTCTCATATTCGCCCCTCCAGTTCATTTGTCTTGCAACAGCTGTTGAAAAGGTTACTTTCAGAACTCTCCAGTCTTTGTCTTTCAGGTTTATACCTCCAACAGATTCCAGGTAGGCAATCTGGAATCTGGAGTAAAAGAAAGTGCATCGTAAAATTGTGTGGACAACGGATACGTAAATATGTATATTTTTAACACAGTTTCCTAAAAAAAACAAAAAAAAAACAGAGAAATAAATATATGTATAAATGTTCTTAGACCAATCACATGGTTAATTTGATTCTTCATTTTGTTTAACCAATGAAATTTCAGATATTTCTCTGATAGCACTTCTAACAGCAAAGCACATTACAGCTGGAAACAGGTTTGGTACTGCGTGAGCAGCTACTGTTGGCAGCTCTAGTAATGTTAGCCTCATTGACAGCTAGTGTCTTTAATGCCAATGTATGTTTAGTTACCAAAGCTGCTAATGTTAGCAGGGTTGAGCTAAGGCCGATGGCGTTAACAAAGCAGCGTTACAAATGGGCGTTTTTTTGCAGCCACAGGCCCATGTCCAGCCACCATGGGGTACTGCTGTAGACTAGGTTAAGCTCTGAAACAAACGCCCACGTATCTTTTATTCAACTCAATCTACTGCTTAGCTAACTTGTATAGATTTAGTAGCATTTGATAGCTGGAGCTATAGTGGAACTACTGTTAATTAAATCACCATCAATTAATTTGTTGTCGGTGCAACCCACTATAATTAGACATGAGCTAAACATCAATGTTTATGAATGTTTAAAAGTCACTTACCAAAAGCGAGGCAGTTAGCTTGAGAAAGGCCGAGGGAAAATGAAATGGTCCGTTATCCTTTTTACTAAAGATGTCCCGCCTTTACAGCATCATAGGCCATAGAATGATAGATAGATAGATAGATAGATAGACTCAAAACTGGAAAATTGTGGCTGAATTTCTAAAACTTTGAAAATGGCTTGGCTCAAGTATGGCTTTCCACAGCCATATCTCAGTCAAAGGTGCTAGTTAGATACATGCCACGTATGGCCCACAACTCAATCCTATGTCTGAATGTTGTGAGTGTAAATCATTTTCTGAATTAAAAGGCCAAGTTCAAAAGGCAAAGTCTTGAAAGGAAAAAAACTATATTAGGATAATTGCCTAAATGACACGTATAGCAATGACAGTACTCTTCCTATTCTAAAAATGTACTTAAATTGTTTGTTTTGCACCGATATACCAAAGCAAACCCCTTGTTCACACCTTGGTAGAACTTCCAATTCCAATTACCATATTTAAAGTTTGCCAGTTTGTTTTCAGTGTTCTGTAGACATTTCAGTAATACTGTGCGCAGACATGGTTTAGAACGACATTTCTATTTTGTGTCCACGCTTGTAAACATGGCTTTATAGTAGAGATAGTAAATGGTGCAAGATACAGTAACCCCTATTAAAAGTAAATGTGCAGCTAGTAAGAGCAGCAGCTTGACTAAAGTGGATTGGGAGCAGCTTTAGAGGCGGCATGAAGCAGATGAGTGGCTCAGCAGGGCTGTGTGTATGTAGGCCGTGTTCTGCATGTTATTTCCTTGAAGTCATCAGACCTACTCTCCCCCATCAGAGAAAGGCTCTTATGATAAGTGGCAGCCATGAAATATGCACAGCCTGTCGTAGCCGCCTGCCTCGCATCACAGAGCCTCCCTACGTTTCCTCCTTCCCACTGTCCCTTCTTACTACCTCTTCTTCTCGCCTCCCGTCATTGTTGAATCGTTTCCCTTCTCTTCCTTTACATTCATTTTCCCTTTTCTCTCCTCCACCGTCACCCTCCATCACTCTAATCTTCCTCTACCCTTTACTGGAGCCCTTCAAAATATACACAAAGAAGATGACGTAAAGAAAATAAACACCCCCTAATACATCTTTTAAATCTTTTATTTTAGGTATGCCTGTATTTCCTGGAAAACAAAAAAAAATTTGGCACATGGAAAGCATTGTGAAAAGCATTTGTTCCTCTTTCTTTTTTTTCTTTTTGTACATTATTCCTTATTTTCACACACAGTAGCTTGGATCACACTTTTGGAGCACTGCCGACACAAAAAACATGAATTATCCAAATATGTTAATTGAATTTGAATTCTTATTAATAAAAAGGTAAAAGCATTTTTCATGCAGAGTTCATTTTGCTTCTCCGTCAGCTAGAAGGAGTCATAGAAACAAAAACACAAACCCTGGAGTAAATCTTTTTCACTCGCTCTTTGAAATACTGACAACATGGTGTATAATTATATATCAACATTTGACACTGTTATATGTTGTTGTATAGGTATATATCTATATCTATATATAGTTATTTGTTCCAGAAATACAGGAGACACTAACAGTAAAAATACAGACACATGAAGGACACAGACAATGGACGCAGATCTAGCTTTATGCTGTCAAGTCATAAACATACTTCAGTTTTTTCTGCTGACACATAATGGTGGACGAAATGTAAAACCATTAAAGCCGCTCTTCTGTGCTGAATTCATCAGCAGCTCATTGTTTAACATTAGAGAAAACAGACAAGACCAGCCTCATCCAGTATTTCCTATCAATTAATCCAATTGAAAATGATTCATTTCCTCACATCACAGGTCTCAATGACACAAAAAGCCTCTCAAATTACAATCCCCCCTCCCCCCTCACTAAAGTTCAATACTGAGGCATCTAAAGAAAAGGAACTCCACAGCTGTGGCTTTTCAGTCTGAATTTTTGTTAGTCCAGAGGTTTTGGCCTTTAACTTGAATACCTGAGCTTTTCTATAACACCCTTGACCACTTCTACAATCAGGCTATCCAGCCTCACAACAGTTTGTGAAATAGTCACAGAGAGTAAGGTTCACATACTGTACTGTACATGAACAAGAATGTTACTTTTATTCATGCCAGTCACAGTATCGTATTTAAAATAGAATATAAAGATTGACAAAATCTGCCTCGGTCGCAATTAATGTAAGTGCCATGGAGAGTTCTACTCTATTTGTCTTATTTTTAAGTTACCTGGAACTTGTGCATTACAGCAGAAACCATCGTCTCCCCTCAGCCTAACTAATAATATGAAACCCTGGCTAATTTAAAACATCAACTTTTACTTAAAGTTTCACACGGGACCTGAACAACCTCCTGGGTGGAAAACTAAAGGCTCTAGTAGAGAGCCCTGGGGGCTGCCATCATGCATTTGCGCCTCCAAAATACAATGCAGTATCTGACTTGCATAAAAAAGGGAAACTTTTGCTCAAGTACACAACTCCTCCAGATTAGACTTTGTGCTTACGTCAAAAAATATTGTGAGACTGCCTTGAGTCAGGGTTATGCAGAGAAAACATTGCTAGTCTCTAGAAAGCAGTCAACTTTAATTGCGTCTGACATTTTCCACCAAGTGTTGTTAATGTTTCAAATGTTTCTGAGTGATGAAAGCAATACTACCTCTGCAATGGAATTGCAACAGCTGTTTTGGGAACCTATCTTTTACAGAAATCGATTATAAACAATAAAGGATAATTTGATCCCCCACTACCTACTGAATACCATTTCCATAAAATCTGTTATCAGGCCCTTCTTTAATAATGTCCTTAAAAAAGTCGTGCTTTTGGAAATTGAATTCCATGTCATGTTCAAATGATTTAACTACAGGTATATGGAAATTAAACATTATTATACTGCAAAAAAATTGAATGCCCCTTTATATATAAACACTAGTGAACCTGAATGTGCCCCTCTGCAAAAAACTCTCCTGATGTCCCTGTGTGATGAAGAGTAGTTTGATATGTGGAAGCACTTCAGCGGCTTCCACACAGCATCAGCTGTACCCGAGTGTATACAGTGCCAACATTCTCTCTTTCCTGAGATAAATATGCTTACCAATAAGCCGCATAACCTCGCAGTCTTTGCATGTTAATTAATTACAGCCCTAACCTGAGTCTTCTGAAGATTGGTTAGGTAGCTTCCTGTCAACAATATTATTGCTAGCTGGGGAAAACAAAAGATAAAACACACACAGAAAGGATTTTCCTGCTTCACAAGGACTAGTCCAAACTCATGCCCACAACTGCTGCTGTCTGTAGTTAGGATGGAAATTCTTATTGCACATGCAGACAGCTCGGAAAACACAGATCACAGTGAGTTCAAATCTTCTGCAACACTTTGAATACAAAAGTTGACCAGAAAAGTAGGGCTGCATGATATATGGGTTGTCCTACCTTTTTGATGTCAAAGTAGAATTCTTGTTACCAAGCCAGGGAACTTTTTGAGATGCGAAGGTACTTAACCTGCCTTTCGAAAACAGGACATTGGTGCAACTTTCTTTCCAGGCCACAGATTTTAACCTGGATAACATATCTAGTACTTAAGTTTTGCTTTTCAGGGACATCAAGGTGGACTTTGCAGCACTGAATTCCATTGTGATAAACGTGTTAAAGAGTTTTGTATAGCTTTTACAGTCATATAAGCAAATATTGTCTCTGGTCTTTATTTTCTCTTGATTTACTACTGAAAAACCACTGTTTTCTTATCTTCTTGCTCCTCTCCTTTTTCTGTCACTGGTGGAGCAGCTAGTTGGAAGTGAAGCTGATCATACAAACACCGTTTGATATGATTATAAAATAGTTTAACACCAGGTACTGGGAAGGCAGGTATGGACACGCATACAAATATACAAACTAAATTGTTTGATTTCACAAACAGTACTCCTTCACACACTTATAAAACATACACGTGCACACACATACGCTGTAAACAAACGCCCAGGTATTGGTATCATGCACAGAAACTTACTGCTAGTCTCTTTCATTGCTTAAATACTAGATAACAGAGAATCAGAGTATAAGAAGTAGAATTATCTATTTAATTTACTAACTCAAAGCTTAGATCAAGACTACATTTCCCAAAAGCATTTAACCATCACGATCCCTCTGCTGATGAAAGAAGAAATCTGATATTTGTCCGATCTTCCACTGTATTGTTTTGTTTTAAATGTATTTTTTCACCATTGGAAAACAGCCACTCGATAGTAGCAGGTGAAATGGAGATCAGATGGTAAAACGCTGCAGGGAGACAGAGTCCAGGGCTACCATTGATATAGAAACTCATGCACAAGTTTGTGAAGCATTCCAGTTTTAGCTAAGATAAGGATAAACACACAGACACTATTATTATTATCAAACACTGAATAATAAAATGCACACCAGAAATACAGGCTGAGCTCAGGATGCGCTGGGATAGCCGAGGAATGACTTAAAGAAAAGTTAAATCACAATTTCCACCAAAAATCTATAACATTGAATGCTGCAGATATGTTGTATGCAGATGATGCAGTTGTGTATGTGTCTGTGCTAAAAAATTGGACTTAAATTCAGGTGAATATACTTGCATCAGTTACCAGTTAAGCAAAATATTGTACATTGTATCCCTAAGTTTAAATTTAGAATTTTGCTTATTAATTTATTTTCGTTATTTGGATGTTTTTTTTTGTAAATTAAGCTGGAGAATTATGTCAAAACTGTGAGCAACACAAGTCAAAAAATTATACATTCAATAAACTTATGAATCAGAAGCTAGTCAACGGGAAATCTTTTGCTAACTAGTAAAATAGTATCTCAACTAGAAGCATGGAAACGTACCAGATTTGTTTATGATCTAATTATCTTGTGATTCATTTAAATTTGTATTTTCAATGCTGCAATAGAGTGCTACATGCATTTAGGCCAAGACAACATCCAGGTTACAGCAGTGTGAACAACAAACTTGTTCAAAGCTGACTCGACATGTCTGTGAGTCAGTCTAAGTCATGGCTTCTTGGTGCCTGTAATAGCACATATCATTTCAGGGATATTTGAAGTTGACATGTTTGAGTGTGTTTGTTCCAGGGACAACTGTTATTTATATTTGTGTGTGTGTGTGTGTGTGTGTGTGTGTGTGTGTGTGTGTGTTTTGTGTGTGCATGTGTGTGCATGTGAGAGTGTGTGTGCGTGTCCATGTGTCGATGCATGAGCTGAAATCAAGCCTGCTCTGTGGCAGGGGTGGCTGCAATAGTTCCTGGGAACTCTGGGTTGATAAAGGAGAATCCCTGGAACTCATCCTGGTCCAGGTTCTGTATCACTTCCTCATCGGGAGGGGTCAGCACCGGCGGGTGGCGTGTGAAAAAGCGGTCAAAGTTTTCAGCATCCCGTCCACACTGTTGAGGAGGGTGAGGGGGGATGGCGTAAAGGGGGGGGGGGGAGTTGGATTGGGAGGGGGGAGGAGTGGGGATGGAGAGGAATGGATGGAGGAGAAGGAAGAGAAAACAAAAGAAGGGGAATGGTGGGTTGAACAAGGGTGTGAGATGACAGTCCTTGAACATTGTTTCAAATATCAAAATAAGGTGCAAGTGCCTGGGGAGCGCTTGATTTAACTCTCTGTATATTAGGTAATATTTTACCTTAAAAATGCCTCTTTCAGGAGAGGACAAATCAAGCACGCCTCAGGTATATACTTTCCTCTTTCAAATATTTGAAACATATTCAACCTCAGTTTAAAACATAACAAGTTTACTGATGTCTCAAATGTCCTGTGGCAGTGCACTACTTTAGAACATTTTGGTTATGAAAATGTTATCCCAAAAGCTTCCCGACATGGCCATAAGCACAAAACCAAATTCTTTTTTTTAGGCTCAAAGCGATAATTTGGGCGTAATTGGGGGTAATTGTAGGTTAATTATATGCTGCTGCTGTAGAGACCTGCTGAGATATGATAAAACAAACAGACAAGAGGCTAGTGTGCTAATGAGCAGTGCCAACAACGCCAAATCTTTTTAGAGATTTAAAATATTTTTAGATAATGTTACTGCACATATTATCATTGAAAATGCTAACAACTATTTTTGCTATTAAATCAGCAATTGCAAAATATCCTCTATTAGATCGATCAGACTTGGCAAACCTAGAAATCTAACCATACACTAACAGATAACAACATTAAACTATTTTATATGATTGTGAAATCACTTTAAAGCAATATTTTAGAATATGAAAAAGTAATTGTTCATTTTAGTCAACCTTATCACCCATTCTCCCCACTGGGAACCCCCGAAAAAAGCCCATAAGGTTAGCATCCATCTAAGTACATAAAACAAGTTATTAACTTGAAAACTATATTTTCCTGACAGTATGCCCCATGGGCACTTTGGGCAGAGCCATTCCCTTTTTTTCCTTGTCTCCATCACTGCACTGAGCTTTAATTAACACAACAAGGATTCAGTGTCCTCTGACTACATTACCCAGAGGAAAACTACAAACTCATTAAATCCTTGTTACTCTGAAAAGCCAAATGAAATTAAGCAGACTGTTTAGAGTATGGGGAAATATGTGAAATGAGAAATACACCAGGGTCAAAAAGTATTTGCTGCTAATTACTTTGTTTTAACCTGTTTGGGGAGAAAGGGAAGGATTTGCCACACTGGGGAATAAAATGAATGCCACAACACCTAGCTAAAAGTCGTAAGCTGCTGTGATAAGAATCGTCTATATCATTCTCACTTTTAAGAATGTTTTTCTATACCAGGGAAGTATCTGATTTTATCTTGATTTTGATAAAAATCTCTTTAAGGAAAATAAAAGTTAATTTCAATTGAACTCTGAGCCTTGCATGTTACAGGACAGAAGAACGGGTGGGGTATCCCTATAAGTTTTAAAACCTTTTTAATAACGTTTTACAGTAGTGCACGCCAGAAGAGGTTTCGTTTGAGACTGAGCTGCAAAACATGCAAATTAACAGAAACAAACATGAGAAAACTTTGAACACAGAGAAAAGGACAAATAAAAATGTGTTGATGAATGGACGATGGGTTGATGTGGTGAACAGATGGATATATTGGTGAAAGTATGGATGGAGTCTTTGCTGAGAGGTTGATTAATGGGTTGAATACGGAATTCTTGACAGACAGATGGATTAACAAATATAAGTGAAAACAACAGCTGTACATGAAAGTGAAAGGTGTTGGCATAACTGTTCTTTGACTGATGAATCAGTAAAATAACAGATAAAAAAACTCCCAGATTAGACTGGATCACAGTTTAAAATCCTGGGAATCTGACACATCGCTTTCATTTCACTGCTTCACAAAATGTCAGCCAATGGACGGCTAAAATCCAAAAGGACATTTGGTAAATGGTAAATGGACTTGTATAGCGCTTTTGAACTTCTGACTACTCAAAGCGCTTTTACACCACAGTTCACACCTACCCATTCACACTGACGGCAGAGGCTGCTATGTAATGTGACCATCAATATTAACTTATCCATTCATACAAATCCATTCGCTGCTGATGAAGCAGCGGGAGCAACTTGTGGTTAATTGTCTTGCCCAAGGACACATCAGACATGTCGCTGCAGGAGTTGGGTATCGAACCCTGACCTTCCAGTTAAGAGATGTTCGACTGTACCAACTGAGCCACAGCCACCACGGTCATATTTCAAGGTTAAACAACATATTTAAAAACTAGGGATATCCACGAATAACCAACTAAACGATTCAACATACTCGGCTGCACTAGTCGTCACCAGAATTTCTAGTCAGTTAACGTTTTCACTAGTTCAGGTCCACAATGCTGGTTTAATGTTGCATGTATGCTGTAACGTAGCCGCCCACCACTAGCTGGGGCTGTAGCTCCATTGCTACCATTGCTCTACTACCTGGATGCAAACAAGCTCATTGGACAGATGGCATCTTGTAGCGAAGAGCAGATTGGCAGTAGAAAAATGGATGTCTTATGTAGGCTGTGTCAGGTTAAACTGGTATATAACCTCATGACCGGAGCAATGCAGAACCAGCATATGACCGCTAGTGATGCTCGCAGACTAACGTTAGCTACTCGACAAACCAATTTGACAATGTTTACCCTCAGACACTGTGGTCCTGTGATAAGTCATGTTAAATAAATTGTGTTCAATTGTATCTTGAATGTTTTCTTACTTGTGAATTTATATTTGCGCTTAATCAACAGTGAAATTAGTCGCCAGGAACATTCCTAGTGAAAAGCAATTAGCAAGCATTGGACAACACTGATTACCATTCATCTACTTCCAAGCTAACATCAGCTTGTGATAGTGTTTCAAGATATTATAGGGGGGAGGTTAAACTCCTGGCTAATGATGTTTAGAGCTAAAGGTTATCTAAGCTAGGAATGCTAATGTTAACATTAGCTGTTATGACTTAGCTGTCCTGATGGGTTTAGCTGAATGAAAACTCATTAGTTAATACCAGCTAAATCACAACAATTAACATTAAGTAAAGCCAATTCCTAGCTAACATTGCTTCTAATAAACAAAAATTAAGCCTGGCAATCATATCAATCTCTCAGATTCTCTATGTTTATCTGAACTGCAAACATTGAACACAGCGGTTTGATACCATAACGGTAAGTTCATAAATCATTCATTCAAAAGATGTGATAGGTAATCAAATGAAGTCTTGGAAGTTCTTCACACAGCTAAAACCACAAGAAGACAATAATCACAAGCAGATTGGAAACCAAACAACCAGCCACAATGGCTTTGAAAGCATCAAACATCCTTCATCAAGTATTATCTGAACAAAAAACATCATTAGATACCACTCTGAAGAAAAACGGTTTGAGAGATAAAGAGAGCCCCTTGCCAAAACAATGCACACATAGAAGATCAAAGAGCCACCTTCAGATGCCAAATTGTACACTAAACTTTTATGCAGGGTAAACACACTGGTTCTTCTAAACATCTGAACACTTTGTTTTCAGAAGGAAGAAGAAGAAAGAGAAAAAGAGAGATTGTAAGTGACAGAGCAGGGAGGTGAAAGACAAAAGACTTCAGAAAGACGAGATCAAACAGAAAGAAAAGAGCGATAAAGAGGGAGAGACGAAGAGATCAGACAACATATGTGAGTAGTTACATCAGAGAAACACCGCGGTGTTAAAACAAAAGCAGTCCTGAAGGTGACCTCCAAACCCACACGGGCAAAAATGTAGATTTTTCTTTATATATATATATAAACCCACAAACACAAGCATGCATACACCGCATAACTGATCTACTTTGGGCACTTTTTGGGACAAAACAAACACTTCAAATTATTTCCCAAGGGAAACCACGAGAAAGATGCTACATCTCAAGCCGAACAGCTACCTTTTACCTCTTGTAAAGAACCTATTTTAAACCTGATATGAACTTTAACTCCCATCTTAACCCTTCAGGGAGTCGCTTGTATGTAGTGGTAGAAAACGTTTCCCACTCTCCAATCATTACCTTGACCACTGACCCAAAATATTGCCTTTTTCCAAGATGTCCCCAGTTGGATGAGTGGTCCCCACTTAGCGAGTTTAAGTCTGTTAATTCAAAGACACACACACACACACGCACGCACAAACAAAAAACCCCATTGGGCCAAGACAGCTGCATAAAAAGCTCTAACTCCTTAGCAGCAGTTTGGCCTAAGGCTGTGTGAGTGTGTGTATGTGTGTGTGAGAGATAAAATCATTCTGACTTGCGTTAGGATCAAACTAATTTTGTCAAAGAAAAAAAAAAAAACAGGAAAAACACAAACACACATTTGATTTAGGTCATTGTGGCTGACATTGTAGAGATGTACTGATAAAGTCCCTAAGACGTAGGTGTTTAAAATCAAGCTAAACCTGATCGAAGGGAAACATTTTTATCTCTTTTAGCAAACTGGTTACAGATTCGGTGCTTTAGTTCAACAGCCAATATCAATCAAACCAACAAGATTCCAAACTCTTTAAATGCTTAAAATCAGAGCTACGATACTGCTGTCGTCAATGTTTCCTTCAGCTTTAGTGTCTTTCTCTGTTTGTCGTCATCGCAAATACTGTCTCCACATACAGTTTCTTCCTTATCCGACCCATGTGTTATCATCATCACCACACAGTTATTGCCATCATGATCACTATTATTTCCTGACTTACCTGTCGTAATGACCCATAAAGAGGAGGGGAAAGACTCAGAAGCATAAAAATTGAAAGTGAAAAGACGAGCAAGGTAACAGAAACAGGAGAGACAGAGAGAGAGAGAGAGAGTTGTTGTTGTTGGAAAACAACAAGGTTAGAATCTGAAAAGGGAGACAATTATTATTTGACACAGTGTCTTACCAAGAATTTAACCACAAACGGGGATTAAACTCCTGGTCTCCCCTGCGGTAGGCAACTAATCACTCCCTGGCAAAAACCAAGTCGATTATTTTTTCTTTTTGGGGTCAAGTCGGGTTCAGACTTACGGCTCTAGGTTTGAATGGCGGCTGCACTTCTTTGTTCTCAAGTTTCTCCCAGTCCATGTAGCGGAAGAAGCTGTGGTCCCTGATGTCTCGCTCCCCCTCCGGACCACAACCAAGTCGTTTCGCTGGATGTTTCGTCATCAGCTGCACAGACAGAAAAAAATAATTATTACAAGCCCCTCCTTCCACTTTTCTATCAACCTACAATTGACAATTTCATCATTAGAGTTTACCATAAAATGTGAAAAGAATGAAAAAAGACCAAAGACTGCTGTTCCTCAAGTGGCCACTTGTTACTGGCTCCAAAAACAAGTCACTCCCCATGAAGCTAATTCTAGCTCTAGAAAACCAACATGAGAGCAGCCAAGATCCTTCCCTCAAGGCTTCAAAAAGACAAGGTTGAGAACTCTTAGCCTTAAATCATTTTTAAACCTTATCAGGAAATTCAGCTATTCAGTCCAAAATTGATTTTTAACCAGGCCTTAAACATGTTTATTACTGTTGTAAAAAATTACATTTTAAAATGGGCCCTAATTGGGGTCCTCGGCTTTTGGAGCCAGCCTCAAGTGGACACTCGGGGAACTACAGTTTCTTTTGCACGTCTACATTGGCTTAATTTTTCTAGACCAGTGGTTGCCGCTTGTCCCTGGCCCTATACAGGCTCAGATCTCCTACATTTTTACACGGAGAAATATGTATGATTTATTAACCTGCAATAACATCAGAATATAATTCAAAGATAGTAGATAGTATGAAGACTCCTTTAATTATTACACTTTATTAAGGTGTGGTTAATTAGTTACATTTACATAAGCTAAGCTAACAGTTTAGTTAGAGTTCTAAATCTGACCTACATTCAACAGTGTGCAGCTGTGATGCTCCAAGTCTTCCCTCTGGCATCTTTAAACTTTCATTTGATTCCTTCCTGTCCCTTTTTCCTCTGTATTTTCCATTCATCTTTGTTCATAAACAAACATGGTTACAATGATTATTATTTATTCAGTGTCTTTTTCTCTTTCCTTTGTCTTCACCATCCATCAGTTCTACCATGTATCTTTTTTTCCTCCCTCTGGGGACCAAATAAAAGTCACCAAACCTTGGCCTGCAGATACATGAATAACTGTTGTTGTTTTTTTTCTCTCCCTTTTTAACCACAGCGTTATTTCTTCTCAGGCTACATTAAGGACTGTTTACGATGTCTGAGCACACAAAACCTTAAGAACAGCATCAAGGCTAGTGACGCAAGTGTCAGCATGTGTGCGTGTGTGTGTGTGTGCCTCCCTCAGGAGCAGCAGTCATAACTCATTACATTACAACTAAAATAACATTTTCCACGGGTCATTCAACCTTACAAATCATACACACATACACATACACATACACAGACACACGTGCACACACAGTTACTCATATAAACATGAACATACCAAAATTTCAGGCATGCACCAAGGAAATGTTCGAGTCAGTTATAGTTGTTTAAACGTTTGGCTTGGAATATTTTTCAAAGAAGCAACAATCATTTTTTCTCACAATCTCAACCTTTATTTTGTTCTCTACATCGATGTCATCCCTTTTTTTTCACGACTTAAGTGGGGCACACTTTATACAACAGCTGCTCTTCTACAGTAGATTAAGCATCTTTTAGGACCCCTTTAGCAACTTTATTTCACAAGCGTCTGGCAACAAATCTGGGGGCGTTTTTGGCAGACAGCACGGATACAGCTGCCACTTTCATCATCGCGGCTCTCTTAGTTCAGTGGACCACAAACCTGTGAAATAGGTCACTGGATGCAGGAATTAATGGCACACGTGAAAAAAAAAAAACCCTGACTTGTTTTGGTCGCTAGGTTTCAACAGGCTGCATTAACCATGCAGCAAACTGGGCTTACCTAGTATGTACACAATGACCGTGTTAGTGTTGTTGGCTTGTTTACATGCTGTCTCACAGTACAGTAAAAACAGCAATAAGTGATGTTTACAATGTCATAATTTTAAACGGCCAGGGAAGATCTTTTGGATCAGAATGTTGCCCCATTTAAAATCATATTTCTCATTGGAAGCTGAGCAGAGTGCAGACTTTTCTCTTTTTTTCAGCAACTCACAAATGAATGTGATATCACAGACTGGGACACCAATATCGCGGGTTGCGGATTAAAAATGAAAGAACAAAGACGATGTGTAAAGATGCTTTAAAGTTGATAAAGAATAGTGAATAACAGTGTTTGTGATAATGTTTTTCAAACCACAACCTTCCTCTGCCAGGGGGTATGAATCATGGCTTTGTTTTTGTTGACTGGGGATAGGGGATAGGGGATAGGGGATAGGGGTATGGGGTTGGTAGCCCACTTTAGCACTACTGGCTGGTTTTTACATGAAACACATCAAATTGTGGAAGCACAAAACACTGGCAATCCCCTTTAAGAGGGAGGGATGCATCCAAATCATCATGGTGGAAAAATGTGCCTTCTCCATTATGGTGTGTATTGCCCTGACATACAAAAATAGATGAGGCAGATGCTTTCTGAACAGCAGTGGAACAAAGATTGTGAGTGTGTATAAGTGTGTGAATGCCTGTCTTTGCATGTGTAGGAACATTTTTGAACATTTTTTTCTTCTCTGTAGAATCATTGAAAGTTAAAAACATCATGTACCTCGCACTAACAGCACTACAGAAAGTGTGTGTGTGTGTGTGTGTGTGTGTGTGTGTGTGGGAGTGGGTGTGTGTGGTTGTGTCCCATTGCAGGCTATGAAATATGGATGCTGGTCAGGGTGGAAGCAGAGGAGTGGAAATGTCTCTGATCACTCCCTTTCCACACATACGTACATGTACTCTCTCACAAACCACTCGCCTGCCTACTGTGAACATGACATGATTTCACTATTGTATAGGACGCAGCCTTACATTAACTCTCTAGCCCTTATTGTACTAAAGGATCTAGTACCTTAAAATGCAAGAAAAAAAAAACTGGTCAAAGATTGGTCAAGCATGCACTGTATTCACATGGCAGCCATTTTTCTCTGCTGTCACATTCATGCTTGATCTGCCCTTATAATATCAACTGCTGTGTTACAATCTGCAAGTCATAAATATGGGGAGAATAACTAGTTCAGCTCCTAGTTACACTCCTCAGCTTCTGATTCACCAACAGATAAAAAAAAGTACATACAATCCTTAGGGCCAGATTTCAATGTACTGACCTAGTCGATTCAACAGAAATTTAAATTCAGACGCAAGTCTAGTCTTAAGGGAAAAAAACACTCAGAAAACAGTCAAAATTGAGCACAGATTATCTAAAATTGTCTGCTGGTAAAAAATGTATTTGGTTTTCTGAGTGTGGCTGACGTTAGCAGTGCTAGCGCCATCTGACTTCTGTCCTCCTTGCTGGTTAGCATCCACATTCCTGGTCTAAATGTACACATCTACAGTAGTTACACATTGCTCTGGATAATATTCCAGTTTAAGACTACTGCCAAAATGCGCTGCTCCAACAAGATGCTATCCGTTCACTGTGCTTGTTTACATCCAGGCAGTAGAGCAGGCAGAGCAGGCCCATTGGCAGAGGGTTAGCCAGAGCCAAATGGCTACAGCCCCGGCTAGTGGCCGTTGGCTTCATTGCAGTTTGTCCTTAACAGTTTTACCGGCATCAATTGCCAGCATATAAAAATATTAATTTGTTCAACCGACTACTAATTCTGCTAGCGAGGGGGATGATATACGAGTAATCATTCAACCCCTTCCTAGCTTACACGTCTGTTTGAATTACTGAGACGGAGTGATAGCTTAATTTCAGAGGAAATTAATTCCTCTCCCATGGTGTCATGTAACACTAATTATTAAACCTTTTTTTTAGCTAGGAAGTGACACTAGCTACTGTAGCAGTGACACTGCTTACGCAAGCTAATGGTTTGTAAGATAACCTACATCTCTACAACTTAAAACTGTAAGCAGAGCAGTTCAGCATAATAACAGCAATATGAGCATCCCTATGTGAGCACACACACCCTGAACATCTTTGAATGTGTTGTTGTGGTTGACTCAGGACAAAAGAAAAGGTTTCCAGATGAAGTTACTCCACAATACAATCAGATTAATTTACTTACATTTTTTTTTAATAAACCAAATTTGAGAGGCCATTTAAAGTTCAAACAGTATCACCTCCTCTCATGTATCTTTAGATCTATCTTGTTTTTTCTATGTACTGTTTGGTGCCTAGTCTACAGGCTAATAAAGCTAACCTAAAGCTAAACCCTCCTGGTCACTCGCAGTCCTCACTGTACTCATTGTGCTGAACTTGAACGAGTTATTTTTTTATTTTTCAAAATGGAAATGTCTTGTAGCATTTGCGAAGAACAGCTTCATGTTTTCTTTACATGCACACACAGAAACACACACCCATGCACGCACGCACGCACACACATATCGAGTTAACCCAGGCAGTGCTGGCAGGCCGCAGTGGGAGATGTGGGGGTGGACGAAGGCGAGCTTTCATGCTCCACTGGAGATCAACTGTTTTAGCACTACAACCTAGTAATCATCACTAATACATAACACAGGCTGTGTATGTCTAAGTGTACAGTATGTGTGTGTGTGTGAGTCTCAGTGAACATATACGCGTATAATCATTTTTTCAATATTGTTTATGGGTTATTGCTGCTTATTTCATGGTGTGGCTGAATATTTGGTTTTGATAGGATGCAGGGTGTAAGATAATTTCAGGGTGATAACTGCCTGTTCAGTATTCTAGTGAATTCTACTCATGTGCTTGTTAGGCATCAGCTTGTATCAAACATCAGTAACCATTGAAAGGCAAGGAGGACACAGTCTAAGCCTTAATCTATTATTCATGCAACTTGTCAACACGCTTAAGACATTTATAGTTTTATTGAAAATCAATGAAACATTTAAAGTGTCTTCATTGCTATTCTTCAGAAGGTAGAGCTGGTTTAAGCAGGATAACGCCCTTTGAGTTGTCTGTAAGTTGGACGTTACGGGCTTCCATGTCAGCCCTAAACTATGCCTTTAGAAATAAGAGATGTAATATTCTTTCTCGCACATGCGCACACAAACACTCGCACACACACACACACACACACACACACACATACACATACACACACACACACACACCAGCCAAGTCCAGGGAAGTGTCAGGGCCTCATCTGGTACCGGCCAGTCTTTTCTGAAGAGGAGTTTCCACAGTCAGCTGAGCACACTGCACAAGCTTAGGCTATTAGAGCAGTGAAATGTGTTGTGTGTGTGTGTGTGTGTGTGTGTGTGTGTGTGTGTGTGTGTGTGTGTGTGTGTGTGTGCCTCCCTCAGGAGCAGCAGTCATAACTAAACTAAACTAAAATAACATTTTCCATGGGTCATTCATGTGTGTGTGTGTGTGTGTGTGTGTGTGTGTGTGTGTGTGTGTGTGTGTGTAAGTGTAGGTGTGCATGTGTGTGAAGTAGAGAGAGAGCAAACTACTTTGTCTGTCTGCATGTTTGCATGTGTGAGAGAGGGAGAGTGTAGAATTATGAAAGGTGAAACAGCGGCTTAACAATGAACACTGCATAGAGCAAAAATGGAAGTGAGAGAGAGAGAGAGAGAAAAATAGAGAGATGGAAGCAGGACAGATAGCGAGAGCGAACAATGTTGTTTCACTCCAAAAAATGTTCCCTTACAATGGTTTTAATTATACAGATAATTTTGATGTTCCTCTCTCTGCGTCCTTCTCTACCTCCTTCCTCCGTTTACCTCCTCCCATTTCTCATCACTGTGTCCTTTCTTAAAACAAATTTAATACCCTGCCTATTCTCTCGTCTGTGTATGAGTGCATTTGTGAGTGAAAGAGAGGGAGCAGGAGGGATTTTGTGAGAAAAAGGGGGCAAGGTTGAGCTTGCCAGACAGACAAGGACTTGTATTGTACACTGTGTGTGTGTCTGTGTGTGTGTATGTACACTCACCCCTTTACAGATAGCGACAGCCTCCTTGGACATTGACTTGGGATAGGAGACGTGATGCTCCATGATGGACTGAAATAACTCATCCTCGTCCTCACCGTCGAAGGGAGGCTGAAGAGGAAAGGAGAAGAGGAGATAAGGAAAGGATAGGAGGAGAGGAGAAAAGAGAAGAAGCAGACAGGACAAAGAGAGGATAGTTTAATTAAATAATTGAGTTTTTTTTTTTTTTGTCAAACACATTCACCCCTTTCAAATAAGACATCCACCGTTTGAAAATGTCACCTCTACTCTAAGAATTATTAATGCCACAAGAGAAACTCTCATCAGGGGTTGTAATTTAGTAGCTAACCTTTAATTTCACAATGTCCAATTTTAAAGGCTGCAATCATGAGAGTGTGACTTTTCCCACATGAAGTCATGAATACAAATTCTGTTCATTAGCATGCTGTTTCAAAAGATTGTTTTTTTTTATTAACCTTTATCACCTTTGATTATTCTTTGTTTTTAGGAGTTCTATCATCAATGCATTTCACACACACACACACACACACACACACACACACACACATTCAGACTCACCTGTCCAGCCAGCATCTCATAGAGCAACACACCAAAGGCCCACCAGTCCACAGATTTTCCATAAGGCTGGTAGGCTATGATCTGAAATAGAAAAGGTAAAGACATAAGCTTTGATACAAGTGCTCTCTCTAACCAGGAGCTGAGTACTTACATTTTGTTCCTGAAACGTTCAGGAACGACAATAAGTGCCTCTCCTTGAATACTTGAAAGTTGCTATCAACGCTTTAATCACTGAGGCAACACATTATATAAAACCCCTTTTAGAAGCCCAAGTTATAATCCCCATAAGTACAGTGATTTGTTCAAGACAAATTTCCCCTTTTAGACACAATTAAAGTTTGTTTCGTATCACATCATTTCCTATTGTATCCCATCCTAAATGTTTCAACACCCAAACCCCATCAGGAGTGAGTAAGTAAGAAATAAGTGCCTTCCATTTGTGTGCCCATTTATTGCTCTTGTGAGGATTTTTTTTTACAGGTTATTAGAGAGACTTAAATAAACACTAACAAGACTTACAGCAAACAAGACCATCAGCAACAGATTGTTTTTTTTGTTTCATTTTCCAAAGCAAGTGTTCTCGTCGAGGGAAACATTTGACTTTTAAATAAAACAGGATGAGATTTTTGATCAAAAGCACTTGTGTATGTACAGCGTATAATCAGCAGAGATAAGAGGTATCACCGTGTCCACAGGGGTCGCCAAAATCTACACACACTAAAGGTTACCTACAGGGGTTTTAAACCAACATACACTAGAATTATTGAAATGTTGAAAGGAAACTTTAGATCCAATATCAATCATCTGCCCACTTTCTATCACTTACACTCTCACGCATGCTTTACCTCAGGAGCAATGTAGTCAGGCGTTCCACAGAAGGTTTTGGTTGTGATTCCATCATTCATATTTTCTTTACACATGCCAAAATCTGCAATCTTTATGTGACCCTCACAGTCCAGCATCACGTTGTCAAGCTTCAGGTCTCTACAGGAGGGGGAAAAAAAAAAGCAGCGTTAATAAAAGGGGAGCAAAACATGATGCGTGACCCACAGACCACTTCATGTCAACATTCAATTTTCCAAGCATCCAAATAAGAATATGAATAGAAGACGCCAGTTGATACAGGACGTGTATATCTAGCGGACCATCTACACTGTATAACAGTGACATCACACGACGTCCCTGCTTCTGGCGATGGTGCAGACAGGTGAGCAAAAGTTCGCCTGCTAGAGAACACACATGCAGCCTGCAAACACCTGCTAGCTAGTTTTCAGCAGCAAACTACAAAACATGAAGGAGGGAAGAGGTGCACAATACATGAGGAAACAGTAAAGAAGTTGGATCGAGACAAGATGAGCAGCCTCGTGTTTGTAGGTAACTGCAGGCAGGCAGTTTTGGTTATTTGCTAGTTTAAAGGCTTTATATGTGATTTTTTGATCCAGCGGATGTCGCCCTTGAGCACCAGCATGATCTGCGTTGTTGTGTTAGCATGCTAATGCTAGCGATTTATTATGCTCGTATCTTCATTTACCCAAAATGAGCGTGATCTAGAAACACAGTTAAGCAGTGAGTACAGTATGTTATTCTTCTTTTCTCTAGTCCCTCAATTAAACAACTTTTATACGTGAGGGGAGGAGTCAGCCGCGTCCTGGCGATGTAAACAAACTGAAGATAGGACTCGGAAAACTCGGAAAACATCACAGACAGTGGGATTTGTGTGTTACACCCATTGTAGACAGTCATGACTCACTGAGTTATTTTCAGAGGATATACTTGATTTCTATTATATTTAAGTGTGAAAAATCGCATATAAAGCCTTTAAGGACTGGTTCATAGACTGTTTACCCACAAAAGATTATATTAAGTATTTGGTGAGACGGTTACCTGTAGATGATGCCCTTTAGATGAAGGAAGAACAGACCGATGGCTATCTCTGCAGCATAGAACCTAAATAAACACACACAGAGAAACCAAACAAGTAATTAGAAAAGAAGCTGAGAGAAAGGACAAGAGGAGGAAAAAAAAAAGAGGAATAATTTGTAAGTGTGTGTGTGAGTCTGCATAAAAGGTCAGGCCTGTCTCTTCAAGGCCAGAGAGCAGCTGATAAGATCAACAGGAGGAGGTGCACAAACTCAACAGCCAGTCAAATATGTTGGCGCGTGTGTTTGCATTGGAGTGAACAATCAGTGTCTCTTTGTAAAGCGCGCACCTAAAAAATGTCAACAGTGTTTTGAGCAGAGTTGAATATGCAGAGGCTGTTGACAAGGAGACCTGTGATTTTAAGGTACTTTAACCCACTGCTTTTTTCACCTGAGATACCATTGAGCTTTCCGCAAATCCACTGTGTACCACAAGAGACTGTAGTGTGATAATTAACAGTCAGAAACTTCCTTAAATTAAATCTTTCTTTGGCAACTAGCTTATTCACCAGATAATGAATTAGCCATGGATCTAGACTGTGTAGCTTTGATAGCTTGGTGTTTGCCAACTCCTTGCTCCTTTTTTGAGCACCCTCTTGTCCAAATATTGTCATTTCTGGTTCCAGATCAACCAACGTGGAAGCGGAAAAATGCCAAGCATAAGGCTTCAAACGAGAGTTTACAAACTAATTGCGGACAATCCTGGTGGCTAAACTTTTTGGGACGTTAAATCTGCAATTCAAATGATAACTAGAAGGCACTGAACAGTTGAAAGCTAGCCCAGGAGGACACATTCTAAATGAAAAAGGTCTACAGACTTAAATTCATCATCCACTGAGCAGCGTTTCCTGTCTGTTGTCTAAATTAAACAAGAAGTTGACGGCCTCAGATAAATATTCAACTTCCCCCTCAGCAATCTGAAGCTTCTGCTGGGGGATAGAAAATCTAATTCCCTCCGAAGCACCTGAAGGGCAAACTCCTCCGCGCCTCTCGCTTCCCTGACAGCGCTCTTGTCAAATGTGTCAGCCCGCTGGCTTGACTTGACACCCGTGATCTCGCCCAGCCACCTTAATTGTACTCTGCACTTTTGGAGGTATTTTACCACACACCGGAAAACTCGCATTCGCAGCTGGATTACTTTCAGTTCTTTGAAGTTCTTCAGAGCAGCAACGAGAATCGTGGCAACAACATATTTCACCCCCGGGCTCTGCTAAAGATTGCTCATCCATCACCTGAGCCCGTCAAACTGCTGATGGCTTATTTAAAAAAAAAAAAAAAAAAAAAAAAAAAATAGAAGAAGCATTACCCGAGCTGTGAAACACCTTTAAGCACGGGATTAAGATTTTGTGTCATGATGGCATAAGACTGAATCCTTTAGTCTACGGAAGCTGCTTTGTGTGCGTGTGTGCGTACTCACACAGCATGGGGCTCTTTGAACTTTCCAACCTGCTGAATTTGATACATGAGATCTCCTCCGTTTATGTACTCCATGACGAAATACAAGCGGTCCTGTGGAGATATGGAGGGGTAGACGGAGAGAGAGAGAGCGAGAGAGAGAGGGGAGGTTAAAAGGCAAAAAGTACATATATGTGTTCATAAAAGCAGGTGAGGGGTCAAAGAGAAATGGCACCATACTATAGAGAGTAAATTTTGTGATAGAGTGATGGGAGAATAGAGAGAAGATTGAAGAAGAGATGTAGCCAAAAAAAATGACCGAGGCGGTGAAAATGGGAGGTTATAGATAGAGGAGAGGACAAGGAGTGTGAGAGAGAGGTGATTGGGTTTTGAGTGAACACAGCAACTTCAATTTAAGGACTAATTTCCCTCCATTATCTACAGAAATTGCCAATAAGGTACAGTTTGAGAGGAGGAGTGGAGGGATTCGGTGTGTGTCCATGTCTTAGAGTTTTTTGAGGAAATGTTGTGTGTGTTGTTAATGTGTATCTGTGTGTGTGTGTGTGTGTGTGTGTGTGTGTGTGTGTTTGAGAGAGCTCTGTCAGATTAGTCTGATGAGTGCAATATGTGCTCCGTGCATGTGTGCGTAACTAAAATACAATTGATTGTGCAGACTTTGCAGCACGTACTGTACAGCTTGTATATGTTAATGCATGTGAGCTATGATTGGTTTGGTGTGTTTGTGCCTGTGTGTGTATTATAACAGCCCTCCTCTGGTCGATGAATTAGTGCTGAGGAGCATAATCAACCTCACTGTTGTTTTTTTTTTACGAGTGTGTATGCACATGTGTGTTAAGTCTAATAAACAACCCTCAAAAGGATTCAAACACAGACTATAATCATACAATCATTGTACAGAGACGCGTGTTAGCGCAGCATATTTATGTAAATGTCATCTCCTTTGTTTTAAGTATGAGAGCGGCGAGCTATATTTACTCCTCTGTTGACCCATCTTCAGTGTAACATGGATTATACGTCATAAGACGAGCATGAATCAACCATGAATCCAGCATGTGTATTCCAGCTGTGAGCTGGTGACAGCAGGCAAGGACGCTGCTGTTTATCCACGGCGCTCACCAGCAAGGAGCGGTGCCCTTCAGCAGGGCTCGTGCTGAGACTCTCCCCATAGCTCATGTAATGCGAGGTAGCGAGAGGCCTACCAAGGGAGTCACTTCAGCATGCAACGAATGTTAAAAAATATATATTTTCTTTTCACTTTCAGCGTATAATATTTTGACATTATTATATAATGCGTATGTGCAGTTGATTCAGCAGGAATGTTTAGGCGATCAAGTGTAAGAGGTGCCGTTTCTGTTGTATTTAAATGTACGTGTGTTTCTACGCACTCTATGGTTTCAAGTCTTTTTGGTAAACTCGGTTAGTCTAATCTTTATACTGTATGGTTTTAGTCCTATATGTAACAGACAGGTAAGAGATTTAATATATACTCTGTGTTACTACTCTTAGTAGAAGTATTAGTCATATTGTATGTCAAATAATTTCTTTTACTAAACAAAACCGTAACAAAACCCACTCACCATGGTCTGGAAGGTGGAGTGCAGCTGTGTTAAGAATGGGGGCTTTCCAGCCAATGCTAACACTCTCTTCTCCACCATGGTGCACTCCACATCATCATCCTGGATCACAACATCTTTCTTCAGGATCTTTATAGCATACAGGTCCTCCGTTCCTTTACGCTCTGCCAGCATCACCTGGAACGAGAGAGAGGACAGATATGATCGACGGGAAATACAAGAAAAGGTAGATTTTTACATGTGATGCACATGTCTTTATGGGAACACAGCGCCTGAAAAGCATTTAGATCAACATCAATTTAGAAAAATTGTGAGATCTAACAAAGATCACTCACAAAATTACAACTTGAAACACTGATGATGTTTGGCTAGATTTGCTAGATTTTGTCCATTTTTGCATGAAACCAGAGAGCTATGGTTCACTGGATTACCAAGAAGTATGTTACCAAATTGGACCATAGTGGCCATCTTGGATCACTGAAGCTAAATCGAGGCATTGTGTATAAAGTATGTCTAATATATAATGTAGAATTTAAGATTAAAGGCAGACTAAAGTCCACACACCAGAAGCCGCTCCAGTATACATTTAAGTGAGTGTAACACCACATGTGACTCGGAGAAGCTTCTGGTGTGCAGGGCCTTGTCGTCCTTTTGTCTTGGGATATATTTTTTGTCCAGCACCCAGTACTCAACGATTCGGATGTGCGTGCTGTTTGATGTTTTGTATCAAATTCAAGATGACCATTTTGCATTGACAACCAGCCCTTAGTTTGAACATTTCATTAAGGAGTAAATTAATTCACCAGACTTTAATTAGCTTGCACATCTATTCTTCTCTTAACTCACCAAACAGACAGAAAAGAGGCAAAAGCTGAATCAAAAGTTAATCGTACAATGCAAGATAATTTAATGCGTCTGTAAGAGTTTTAAACTGTTTGTCCTTCATGGAAACCAGGGACGAGAAAAGTCAAATGAATTAGGAGGGAAAGAGGAAGGAAGGGAGGATTATTTTCATTTTTATTTTTCTTTACGGGCTCACAATGTGGCGGGAATGAAGATTAAGGAAGGTGAATGGGGGAGGAGAACTGGGGAGAATTGGGGGTGAAGTCGGGGAGGGGGGGGAGTGCAGGAGGAAAGGATGGGCAGAAAAAAAAATGAATTTGTATCAGTCTAGCAATCCATACTCCTAATTGTTTTAATTCCTAAAGTCTGGGAGCACATCTGTTCGTAATTGCAGCTGTGACACACACACACACACACACACACACAATTCCTGTGGAGGTAGTCCAGACAGATGCCAGAAAATTGAGCGTCTATGAGTTGTGTGTCCCTTGCTGTGTGTTTGTGTTTGTTGTCGTCAGCAGTTTTAATGTCTTGTCGTCAAGGTCATGAAATTCTCTCAAACAGAGGAGTAAACGCTCACATCTAATCGTCCCCTCTCAGGTCTCGTTTACAGTATCCTGTTCTTTCCTTACCGCCAACATTCCTTTCCTTTATTTTCTCCATTTCTTATTCTCCTACCTTTCTCTTTCCTTCTCCTCGCATGAACTATTATTTCCTGAAGAATCCAGTAGCGGCTGTAAATAGCGGCTGAAAATGTGGGTCAGGTCTCAGCTCGCAGGTCACCTTATAAAAGTTTAAGCAGGTTTGTGACCAGGCAACAAAAGTTCAACTCTCTAGACTGTAATCTGTGTCTGAAGGAATTATATGAACCATTACAACTGTGAAAGGGTCGGTGCCCTTAACAAAATGAGAAAGTGGAGCTTTACAGTGATAGTTCAACATTTTGGGAAAAATCATTTTCTCTTGTGTCGTTTCAACATAGTTACTTCAAAGTTCATGATAAGAAAGGAGGTGGATGCACACAGGCATTGTTCAAAGTCAGATTAAGGCTCCAAATCAAAAGCTAATAAAAAACTTATAATAATAATAATACACAACACTAAACTGATTTAAGTAAAATCTAATGGAAGTTATCAGATCAGATTAAGACTCTTTTCCAAATGAGAGTACTCTGCTAAAACTTTCTTAGTCTAACTGCATAGCCTTCCTCTTAAGTCTAAAATTATTTCAAGTCCCCCCTCCGCCCATTATTATCTTTAAACAAAGCAGGCAAAGAAGAATGTGTAAGAAAAAAGGGCTGAGCTTTACATTACATGAATAACATGGAGTGTTTGTAGTTGCCACGAGGCTAATTGAGTTTTGAGACCTCCACAAAGGATCTTTTATCCGATCGTGTTTCATGTTATCACGGTTATTACATTTCTTATGTTCATTTGCATTAAACACAGGGTGAATCTAGCGACCTGAATATTTTAGCAACTTCTCTAATGCTTAAGTAAAGCTGAGTTTGATAGATGTGTTGATGTGTTTAATGTGCCATTGCTCTGGGGAAGGAAGATAGACTCGATCTTAGAAAGACCAGTGTTTAAAGAAAACAGAACGCTGCGTATTCTACTAATGCAAAACAGAAAAATATCTCTAGAAACAATACCTGCTCCCTCCTAAGTTTCTTAAATATAAGCTTTAATAGAAATCATATCAAACTCATTATTGAATTATTCATAAGAATAGAGCAATACATTAATGGTGACCTTATGTCCACTCGATCATTTTTTCCCCCAAAGAGTCAAGAGATATTTTTGCTGTTTATGCCTTATAAATATTCAGGCATGATAATGAAGTGGGGTCACTCGGTTTGGGATACTACAGGAAGTGCAGCACAGATGGACAAAAACCCACACAAGTATACTCTTGAAGTGTGTGTGAGGGTGGTAATGTGTGTTTGCATTGAGGGTAGCACAGTTCAAGAATGTGCATACTAATCTTCAGCATAAAAGTTTAGAGATCTGCTGGAGTGGGATTTATTGGAAAGCAGCTTTAAGTGTGAGAGGAAGTGTGTATTTGTGTACATGCTAGAGCTCATCCCATATGGTGGCAGTGTGACTCGATGTTAATACAAAGTCTGTAAAGTTGAAACACAGAGGAAGGACACCATCTGGCCCAAAGCTCATTTTATGCAACCAAACACACAAGGACAAGCCCGGCACAAGAGAGGGAGGACACAAAACCACAGGGTTTCATCCGAAATCCAAACGCCTCTGCAGAGGAGACATGGACAGGACACAGAGCGACAATTTTGTATTCATTTTGTGATCATTACAAACTGTCAAGCATGCCATATTTAGGAAAGTGATTTTTAAAATCTCCCCTTTTACTTTTTTTGCATGCCATTCAGTTCACTCAAGGTCATTTCGGTCACGGTGTCATTAATAAATGAACATGAATCGAAGCATGTGTCACTATAGGCAACGCCCTTTTATCTAAGAAAGTTGTTCAGGGTCGTTTTGACAGAAGCACAGTCCTCAGGATATGAACTGTCATGTGTCGTAAATGATGCCACTGTGTTTCCTCTGCTGACCTTGCACAGTGAATTTATTTACCCAGGGAAAACTAAAGCACACTCTGCTGCACTTCATTGCACTGCACGATACTTGGCTTCATTGTAATGAAATGGGCTGTTGTAATATTCTCCACGGTCATATATCATGCACAGTAGTCCACCTAGTCTGATCATGGGCAGAGTGCACGACCTGGCAGGCACTTTTCAAGTTGATAAAATGTTAAAAGGTGTTATTGCACCACCCCTTGTATTTTAATTTACCATATGTTTTGGTTAATCGGGGTTCGGCAACTGGCCCGCCAGACTATTTGGATTGTCACTTTTATTTTCTTAACAACAACGGTATGACAGTCAGTGACAGACACAAACATACCCGCCACCGAACAGTGTGCGAGCAGCGCTGCAGACAGTAGACAGCGCTTGGTGCTGAAGCAAAGCATAGCCATGGCAGCAACAGTTATCATCAGAATCACATCCTCTTAAACCTTTTTCCAACCCAAAAAAGAGCGAGAGAGTTCTTTAAAAAAAAAAAAAAAAAAAAATACACGGGAAAAGGCTTGAGAAAATAGAAGTAGAAGTTTAAATTTTTGCTACCAAGCTGCACATCATTTACATGTCCAGAATGTGTGTAAACCTACTGTGTGTGTGTGTGTGTGTGTGTGTGTGTTTGTGTGTGTGTGTGTGTGTGTGTGTGTGTGACGATATGACATCAGAGATCAGGTCAAAGCCTGTGCTCGCATGCATTTGCCCATGAGATACACGTGTTTGTATGTTTGCATCACACTGTAAGCATTTCCATAGAGAGATGTTAGCAGCTGTATTGTGATGCAGATGTCTGCTGACACTGGGAGCAGCACTGGAAGCACCAGCCCCCATTGACGAACCATTAAAACCATTATAACACACACACACACACACACACACACACACACACCACACTGCATGCGTGTACATGGTTCTGTGTGTCTAAAATAACTCTGTTTATAGTGTGTTTCTCTCTAAATTATCAGTGCCCGTATTACCAAAATGTACTGGTGTGTGCATAGCCTGGAAAGGCATAAATAAGTAGAGTATCTGTGTGTGTGCATGTTTTAGGGATATGTGTGTGTGTGTGTGCGCGCATGTGCGTCCAGTATTCCAGTAATGATTGCCCCTCGACTCAGGCTCTCCACATTGACGCATCGGTGTAGCTTTAAATGCCTGTTACCATGGAAACAGGCATCCAGCATACAGGTCTGCTACTCAGACAATGCTCTCTCTCTCTCTCTCTCTCTCTCTCTCTCTCTATCCCTGCCGCTTACCCACTGTTTACCCAATTTTCTATCTCGCCACTCTCTCTTTCTCTCGTCCCATTCTTTTTGTCTCTCGCCTTGATTTTCATTCATTCATGTCACTCTTCCCTCTCCGGAGCCCCCCCTCCTCCTCTCCTTTTCACTCTCGCCCTCTTCATTCAGTCTGACGTTTTCACCTCTCTCTCAATTCATTCATGTCAACCTTGCCGCCGTGCTCTCACATCTCTGTCTCTCTCTCCTTTCATCAGTCTCTCCCCTTGTCACGTCACAGTCCTCCTCTCTTTCCCTTCATCCATCTCTGTCTACCTTTGCTCCATCTCCTTTAACTCCCTCCATCTCTATCTTCTCTTTCTGTCCATCTTCACTTTCCTCTGCATACTGTGTGTGGATACAGAGCGCACTCATACTCAAAGATGGATTCATCACAGCACAGACTAAAAGGGCTGTTATGCTTGTTTTGACTCTGCCTTTGCATACACATGATGGCGGCTCCCAGGTGCTAGGAGCTGGGACTCATCTGAGGCTGGTTAGCAAAGTAGCATCAGAGTTAACTCCATGGGTACTGTGGTACCAGTTTTTATTCATGCTTTACTGATATCATCCTGCAACAGAGCCTTGTAGTTGTAGTACCTCTGAGTCTTAAGATAATCCTTTAGCATACTACCACTTTTAATTAGGCTATACCTGCAACAGTAATAGTAACAGTAATATCCGTCTCTATGCAGATGATACTGCTCTATTTGATTCTGTCAGGTTTTTTCCTGACTGTATATTTGTGTCTCAACATATAGAATTTGTTAATTAGGGCATCATTCATGATTTAAGATGTTTAATAAAGGTCTATAAATGAATGCATTGAATAAATCCATAACAGTCAACATGTCCTCACCTTGCCGAAGCTGCCCTTGCCCAGCACCATCAGGAAGTTAAAGTCAGACAGCTTCATGCGGTCTTGGTTTCCATTGGAGTCGAAGCGGGACGCAGCGTTAGCCGACTTGCCTTCTGTGTTCTTGCCTGGCCCAATCTTTGCCCTCTGGATAAGGGAAAGAGGAAACAGAATACTTCAAAGTCAGTATCACATATCACAGTCTGAAGGCTCATCTACCTTTTGGTTTTCTTTGTTCCAGACTCTCAAGAGAATTTGGGGAAATGTGTCTATCCCCTCACGCAGCAATATTTGGTAGACCTCCAGATGACACCATAAAAACACACCTTCAATCTAATGTTATCACTTCCACCTCTTTTATTGTCCGTAGAAAATCTATTTCTTTAATCTTAACAGCCACCTTCTTTCAAAGCGTGCTTACTACATGTCATGTTTTTACTCAAATTGGAGAAAATTATGTACGTAAACATGCTTTAAGCGCCTCTAGCTTCCTCAGGTTCACACAGCGTAATCATGTATTTCACTTACAGTAAAGTGACAGTAAAGTCCTTTTCAGTGTGCAACCAATCATTTATGTATATTTGGATATGCATGTGTCTATATTGATGCACATAGGACATCGAAGTACATCAAATCAGCATAAAAATAAAAATAAAAGACTGTTGGTTGAATATAAATATAAATAGGACTTCTGAATTTGGAGCATTTTAACATCCCAGAGAAACATTTTATAAAAGAGACAGCAGTTGGACTGATTAATATGTTAAAAGGGAAAAAAATGTAAACCATTTGCTTCATTGTAATTCATTTATTCTACGCAGGCACTTTAAACTCCACTTCACACTATTCCATAACAAAAATGGCCTCCCCGTGAGTCCGCCACTCTATTCAATCATGTCTGTCACCATTTCTCTTGTTTCCGTCCTTCAACCACTCACTACTGAAACTCTGGGTTCCATCTCTGCTTCATCTTTATAAATGTGCCCTGTGTCTCTAACTCTCCATTTATTCATGTCCTTCACCACTTCCCTGTCTTTCTCTATTATTCACTCTGTTTCACTCCCAACTTTCTATCTCATCTGAATAGTCTCTGCGTCGACCTTGTCATCGGAAACTATTAGAATCTTAAAATCTAATCTCGTTATAATCCTATTCCCCACTTTAAGCCATCCGTAATTTAAAGATCGTCTTAAAACATTAACAAAACGCCCGGACTCTGAGAGCCAGAGGTACAGGACAAGAATATCTTCTCCTATCTTATCTTCAAATTGCTGATCCAGGTTGAAGCTCTGTGCACTTCTTCTTCTGCCCTGTGCAGTGATTTCTCCTCTGCCTCTTCTTGAAAATGGTCAGAGTAAAGCTTTCAAGTGCTGTGCTGCCTGTGTGTTTGTTGTGTGTGTGTGAAAGAGATAGTGGTGCAATCTAAACAGTCCTCTGCTCATCAATGGATAAAAGGCTCTATCTGTCTCCATCTGTTCACACACACACACACACACACACACACACACACACACACACACACACACACACACACACACACACACACACACACACACACACACACACACACACACACACACACACACACACACACACACACACACACACACACACACACACACACACACACACACACACACACACACACACACACACACACACACACACACACACACACACACACAGAAGCAGTCGAGGTATTTGGGAGCAGCCGAGCATGCTGGAGTCAACACACTCTGAGCCTTCATGGAGTGACGCTGCTCTCTGAATGGTGGATATGTTTTTTTCAGATATGTTTTTTTGGTTTAATTGTTAAAAAGTGTGTGTGCACGTAAATGGAGATACAAAAGCCTTTGGAAGCAACAAGCCATTGTCTGTTTCATCCCCTTTATTGTATGAATAATGCCTCTGTAGCTGACATGCAAGAACTGTTAACTACTTAAGGATCTCTTCTGATAAAACCCCTTTTTCTGCTTTAGATGACAAAGTAACCATCCAAGATATCAAGCATTTCTGCCACCTCCATGACACATACAGGACCATGTCCCTTGAAATCTGATTGGCCAACTCTGGTGCCATCACAAAATGCGTCTCTCAACTATTTGAGCAGGAAGTCAGTTTCAGTTGGGGGTGCTAATAGAAAGGATTCTACATACAATATGTTCTGTGCAAAATCACATTTTATCAGTGAATTGCTATCTTCAGTATTATTTGACTGTATTAGCAGCAATGATACTGATGAAAGAAGATTTTACACTTCATCAGACATCAAACCTCACTGAAACTTCAGACGTGATCTCTTAGCAGTTTATGGTTTGTTTATCATAAACAGATAAGTGAGGATGAGGAGCAGACGCGACCATCCTGGTCTGACCAATTGTACAGGATGATAAAATACACATTGGAGGGTGTGGCATTAGCAGCATGCCTTATTCAGTGCAAGAAAGAAGTAGCTCCAACTCTCAAATACAAGTTTCAATGTGCCCTCCTCCAGGCCTGAACACATCTACATGATCGTATTTGACATGATAGTCAGAGCTGCACCCTCTTACAAAAGGATATTACATGTTTCATGCTTTGATGTACTCATATTAGCTGGTTTTACATTATCTATATCAAATGTGGTCAGACTTTAAATTAAATTGCATTAATGTAAAAAAAAAAAATCACAATCCTCCGTTTTTTGTGTTTCAGAAAGAAAAATGGATATAAAGGGACAAACTAAAGTGAAACTGATGAAGTAATGTTTCAAGCTTAAAATCAGTATACATTTTTATTGCAAAACCTGCCCTCTTAATACCTCTGTGAAAGTCTGTGTGAGTGATTCTCGATGGGTTGAATGGAGGCAAGCAGGTCATGTTACCAAAGTGAAATCACTCTCTCCGTCTCTGTGGCTTTCTGACTCTCAGAGAGCTATAGCCGAGAAGTTGCCTGCACGCTTGTGTGTGTGTGTGTGTGTTTGTGTGTGTGTGTGCATGATAGCAGCCCCCCCGAGATTGTGTCTCAGTGAACGTCTGAGGACCATGACCTTGAGGAGGAGGAAGGGAGAGGAAAACAGATAAAGAGAGAGAAACACACAGGGGGGCAGTGAAGGGGACGGAGGACAAAACAGATAAGTGAAGGAGAGAAAAAGAAGTAAAATGGAGACAGCGAGGAGAGAATAGAGGCTAGGGGAGTACAATACCTCGCCGACGTTCATGCGCTTAACTTACAACACAACTATTAACAATGAAAACAATCTGATTTCAGAGCACTGCTTCTCCTGAAGAAGAATCTGTTCACCAACTCATGATGAAGTCAAAACAATTGGCGACCTCCAGGGGTGAAAAAAACAGCATATTCAAAAAGTGCAAAACTGCAGTTACTCTAGTGGCCACTTGAGACAGGCTCCAAAGGTGAGTTAAATCCCCATAAGGCCACATATTAAAAAGGCCAGGTTAGACAAAGAGTTAAATACGTTTAAAGTCTTAACAATACACAATTTTGTCTTTTTGTCTATTGTCTTACAATATGAGTGGATATGGAAAAAGGGAATTATCTTGAAGTCTTTGTGCTAAGCTAAGCTAAAGTTTATACATAGCTTTTCTTTTTATATCTATTTAAATCTGCACCTTATTTTTTTTTATGTAAATACTTGCTGCTGTTTTCATCCTGTACTACAACGAGTCAAATGCAACGAAATTTCATTCTGATCTGGACCGTAAAGTTTGAATGACAATAAAGAAAGTCTAAGTCTAACTGTATGCGACAACAAACGAGGTCAGGTGGTGAAAAAACTGTCCCTTAAACAGCTTTAGAAATTATCTCTTTTTTTTTTGGCTAGGTGTCAGCAGGACTGAATGAGAAGCGTTAAAATAATTTTTCAAAAGTAGTGGGGTTATCCTTCCCACTGCCAAGTGTGTCAATGAGTGGTCCTACTGGTCAGCCACCAAAGACACACACACACACACACACGTCTGGACCTGCAGTGTGCCAGACCGGATGGTACTCTAAGTGTGCCTGCCAACTGCTAACAGCTCTCTCGGAGAGGCTCTCACTAGGACACACACAGATGCAAGTGCACGTGCGCGCGCACACACACACACACACACACACACACACACACACACACACACACACACACACACACACACACACACACACACACACACACACACACACACACACACACACACACACACACACACACACACACACACACACACACACACACACACACACACACAAGCATTCCCCATGCCAACACGCTCACACACACACACACACACACATCCTGGCAAACACTTTACAAAAGGTCCCACATAAAAAGAAAAACACAAGTAGGCCTAAAAGGCACAACTGCGCACACACACCTCAAACTTCTGCCGTAGCTCCTCGTTGCCCTCCTCTCCCTCTGGAGCGACGGGAACATTGAAGTACTCGCCTTCTTCCTGGGAGAGCAGCTTAAACCTGAACAGAGGTAATACTCCAAGTCAAACGAATACTCATTTAGTCTACACAATGTAAGAAAGTTTGCAGACAGTTTTCAGAAGGCTATGCCTCATCTGATCATCAAAACAATAATGTTAGTTAGGAGGTAGATTAATGCTGTTAGCCTTTTAAAGGCAGCAAATCGTTGAGGAAAATGTATCTTTTAACTTGAAATATGGCAACTTTTTTCCTCACCACATGTAAACCTGGAACACATCAGTATGGCAAAAAACAACATTTACACTCCCCATCCTGTGTGTGACCTCAGGGGGGAAATGGCCATCGTGCAATGAATAGAGCAGAAACATGCTGGAAAATGTATCTTTTTTTAGCTCTCCACCTAAACATTTATGTCTGCATCATGAACGCTTGTTCCCCTTCATGGATGCCGGCGCCAGCACATGAAACTTCAGAGCTGCATATTGATGAAGTGGTGGAGAACACGTACACTTGCACGGGTTCCCTCTGCTTTCAATGATGATCAGGTTTTTAATGGCACCTCTCCGCCTCCACCATTCCACCTCAAATGCTGGCATCTCATTAAAAACCCTTACACAGCACCGTCGGTAAAAAAAAAAAAAAGGGAAGAAGATAGAGAGATATAGAGGCTGAGAGAGAGAGAGAGAGAGAGAGAGAGAGATTAAGAGAGAGAGAGAGCAGTAAAGATAAAAAGGAAGAGATAGATAAAGAGACAAGGTAGAGATGCTATGGCACTAAGTATCACCAGAATAAAAAAAAGAGGAGCTCTGACTAAAGTATTTCTCCAACAATACAAACAAGGTCACCTTCACCCTCCCTCCTTGCTCCTCCTTCTCCACTACATTTGTTTTTCCTCTGCCTCCGATCCCTCCTTCATTCAATCCCCCCCCCCCATCATCTCACCATCCATCCACTCCTTGTTTCTGGAGCTCCGAGATGCCGAAGGACAGCGATCCCATGAAGTCGTTGCGGCTGGTCAGGTCCCAGTCCCAAATCTCCACAGACAGGCGGCGGTCTTTATCATACTCCTTCAGGTGGCTGAGAGCGACACAAAGACAGTCAACAGGTTGAACGATGGCTAAGATATCAGAAGGTCTTGCAGTAAAGACTTATGATCTCTGAATCAGTCTCATCTGGATTCTGCTAACTTTTAAAGGGTAGCTAACATAAAATAGTGCAACGTTTTGAAGCATTTTCTTTTCATGAAATAGCTGCGAGATAAAGCACTATAGCTTATATGTACAATATGTTAAGAGAACTCCTTTTGAGCTGTTTGTCTGAACTCTTCAAGCATCTATTTTCTCCATTTGTTGGAGAGGTAAAAAAAAAAAAAGGGCCTTTCAAACCGAACATCTGCACCCAGATGCCTGAAAATGCAAATCTCAGTTCCCCTCCACGCAAACTGTGATGCAGCTTATTAAGAACGTAATTAGAGCCAACTGTCGGAAACGAACCCAAAAGCAAGTTTTCATGAGTGGAAGGAGCCAGATGATTTTTTTTTTTTTTTTTCTGAACGCCAGCGGTTACACTTGCTTGCAAAGCCGAGTATAATGTGAGGAAAAACGCTGCACCGAGTTAGTGAGAGAGATGAAAGGGAAGAAACTGTTATAAACTTGGAAAGCTGGAGCAGAGGAAGAGAGAGGTGAAGGCAGAGACAGACAGAGAGATACACGAACTGATTGACAACTGACACAGTGACATAAAGCCTTACAATTTAAAGGTCTCGTTCCAGGTGGGGTTTAGGTTGCACTTTATGGTCTTGGTCTTCTGTTTACTCTCACTGCGGGGGTCTGGGATCAGTTTAAGCTTCACGTAGGGGTCTGACAGACCGTTGGGGTCCATAGGAACCAGATTTTTGCCCTCTTTGACTGGGGAGGAAAGCAGGAAAGAAAATAGGTGAGAAAGAGAAAAAAATACAAAATGTAAAAAAAGAAGATGAAATGGTCAGTGTGGATTCAGGATGTCAGCACATTTGTGAACAGAAGTTAAAAAATATGTTGTGCGTGAGTGCAGAGCTTAAGTTCAAGCCTGAAATTATTTATATTCTATGAACCATTTAGATTCTTTTTAACCCAATTCATTCATGACAGTCAATGTCTATGTCCAATCTCCAAAACTGTCCATGTTTTAAAAAAAAACTAAAAGCACAATTCCATGAATGTACAATATTAAACAAGTCCAGAATTGTAAGAGGAAATAAGAAACAAAAGGGAATCATAATTATATTTACGCAAAATAATTCAGATTTTATTGAATTTGAAGCTAAATAAAAATTGTATATGCATACCGGTTAAATAGCACAAAAGGCCTGCTTCATAGTGATGAAAATATACACAAAGAAACACATTTTGAAAAATATAAACGCGTGTTTAACAAGGAAAACCTTACTGGGATTGAGAATGTCATGAACAAGCGTGTACTGTTCAAGACGGGCAGCAGAACATTTAACAAGTTACCGACATAAATCACAGATCAACATATCCTGAGTCACAGAGCAGAAAAGTCAGAGCATCTACAACCTGACGCTTCTTTCTCCAATGCCTTCAATCTACTTTTAAAAAGATTTAAAGAGACCAGCTTCCCCAGACACGCATCATCCTGCAGGAGATTCCAGGCCGCAGGAGCAGCGTACCTGAATCTCCTTTTCCCCCATTTCAAAATGCCCTTCAGGGACAGATAGCAAGAATAGGTTTTGTGACTTGGTTACAGAGTGAAGAGTGTGGCTTCAAGCACTTTTCACATGAATAAAATTACACAAGTATGAGGCAAGCAGGTTAAGTAACACCTTATAAATAAGGAAATGCCAGTGATTTAGTCTAGGAGTAGGCAATGCAGGCCAGCCGACTCGTTCATACAGAGTGCAATGATGAGTCAGGCAGGGCCCTGACATTTCTTATGAACCTTAACGCACCATGGGCTGTGTGTGTGTGTGTGACTTCGGGGGTTCCTGGAGCCAGCCTCAAGTGGACACTCGACGAACTGCAGGATTTTGCACTTCGTAATGACCATGTAGTCAGACGAAGGTCGCCAGTTTAGACACTAATCCTTCTTCTGTGGCAACCTGTTATTGGGCTGTAATTGCATTCCAGTGGTAAAAAAAATCCTGTGTGTGTGTGTGTGTGTGTGTGTGTGTGTGTGTGTGTGTGTGTGTGTGTGTGAGTGTGAGCAATTATTGTTACTGGTCAAGTTGTGAGGTCATCCAATTACCAGAGGCAGGGCTGGTGCTACTGTGTCCCATAGACTACTCACCATGGAAACACTTGAACACATGAACAAACACAAGACACCAAGACACACAAGTCTGTTTCCCAACCCTCATATACGGTTCTTCCTTGGCCGATGATACACAATTTCATCCAAGTCCAGAAAAAAATTGTTTTTTTTCCCTTAATCCTGCCAAAATGAAGACGGCAATTTATGTTTCCTATCCTCAACTGAAAAAGAGAAACCCTGCACTTTTCCCGAGCAGGAGTTTTCATTCACAGAAGTTCATGTCAGTGCCTCTAGACTCCACCGAGCAGCTCAGGCTCCGTCCCGCTAGAGAGATGCCATTCTTTATTTATTAGCTTTTAGGAACACTAAAAATTTGATCTGACCCTGTCCACTGTACAAAGATCCGTCTGAAATCACATCTTGTGGATTCTGGGTTTACTAGGTCAGTAAGTTAACAACGTGGTTGCACTTGTGGTTTACTTTCCATTGAGAGAAAAAAAAAAGGCATCAGTTTGCACTTTGGTTTTCAGGGTTCAGGGTTCACATTCATATTTCCCTATGAAGAAAATAAATAATATCATGATGATGCATGTTCACTGGACCATTTTTCTTTACTTTTTTTTTGGAGAACATAACAGTATACATGCCAATGTGTTTTTAGAGAATCTTAAAAGGGCTTCCTCGTTGGTGGATTAATATGGAGTTTCTTTAAATCATGTGACATAGTGTTAGGTCTAGACCTGCTCTGTTGTAATGATTAAATAAATACAAACGACTGAGTCATAAATGGGATATTTTTGAATATATTTCAGAAAAGATAAGTGAGATCAGAAATCTACTCGTCACTAGGATCATCTTCAAATCATGAGCAAAATTAAGGTTTTTCATGTTGGATGATGCACAGTTGAAATGCACTTTACTGCAGTTAAATCTTTATGTAGGCTATGAACTCTGTGGTCAGGAGAACAATTAGTACATAAAGAATATGATCGATTTCGCAATTAGATAAGGCTGCAAGTGGTATAACCACAGCTAACAAAGAGAGGCTGCTTTGATTAGAGCGAAAAAGAGCAAATTTCAGGTTGTGATCAGCCATAAGACCGGAATAGAGGCATGTGTGCAATGATTAGAAGACATGATGAAAAGTACAAATGTCACATTTACATGAAGTGTTCAAGCTGGTCCTTCTTGTAATCAAATGCGACTGAGACCAAACAGTCAGACTTTTTCAGTTTCTTTTTTAGACCGGATATGAAAAACACCTCCTGCATACTTTTACAATAAAAGCCAAAAATGTTTTTACAATTAACAATTGAGATGCAAAGCTCCCGAGCTGCAGGGAACATACTGCATCCTTTCAAAGCATGACTGAAAGGAGAGCTTCCCAGCGAGCTCGCAGCATGACAACACCTTTAAGAAGTCAGAGAAATTAGGTTTTCATGCTGCTAAAGCGCTATGCTACGCTAAGCTCCGGGAGGTTAACCACAGCACAGACCAGCATTAAACCCTCAGCGGAGCAGGTCAATAAATATTAGATGATGCCTGTTAAAGTGACCATCAAATGCTGTTTGAGGGGAGCTATAAAGAAGGTAGCATGCCAAATAGTCTCCGAGGACACTTACAGTAAAGACACCAGTGTGTGTGTGTGTGTGTGTGTGTGTGTGTGTGTGTGTGTAAATAAGAGAATTGGTCTGCTTGTGCAGGTGTGTTTTCTGCATGTGACTGTGTGCACGTGTGAGGATCTTGCTAGCATATACTGTGTGCTAATTGCAAAGAGCATGTGTATGTGTGTGTGTTAGTGAAGGAGAGAGAGAGAGAGCGAGAGAGAGAGAGAGAGATAACGCATGTATTCAAGTCTCCAGGGTGGGCGGCTGGAGATAAGAGTGCAGTAACAGCAGAATACTGTATGTGCAGAGCAGCGTGGGCGTAGGCAGAGCACTTTTTCACATGTGAGACATTTCATCTGAGTTTAGGATCCTCATGATGTGTTTAACTAGCATGCATCTGCGCTGCAAAGTAAGTTTTTCAAGAGAATCTAAATTCATTGAAGCGGCATTAACGTTCATGCTCAGCACAATTCAATGTTCAGTCGGTCTATATGTGTGAGACAGCGTGCCCCCCAACATTAATGTTGTGTAGCTAACAATTCATGGAAAAAAAACAAACTGAACAGAATCAGATCCTAAAATGATCTGCACGTTTCTCAACTCAGTGGAGAAGAGCCGTACGCAATTCAGTGCAGAGCTGTGTTTTGCGCTCTCATCCTGACGGAGGTTAATTTTTCCAGATAAAGATGAGGATGAGCTGGGAGAGGAAGGGACACTTATAACCAGATGAGTACAACAGTACAGCAAAGCTTCCTCCCTGGAATAAGCAAGCAAGGGAGGGTCTCGTCTTGATAAAAAAAACATTCATGTCATGTTTGTGCTTGGGTTAATCCTGAGAAAGCTCTGGACTGATTTAACCCCTTATTATTATAATAATTGTAAATGTCATAATACCATTAACAGACTTAATTTACAGATCATTTAAGTTCATGTCATCCAAAGGTGGAAGTGTGGTCCTTATTAATAGAACGTTTGAGCATGACATCCCTTAGAGTGGCTGCAGCAGAGTCCCGACCGAATCTCAACAGACGGCAATATTGTCACGCTAACCGCATGAGGCTGTTAGCTGCAGTCTTTTTGAACTAGGCATGTTTTGCAATGAATTCAATCTGTAGACTTATTTAAATAAGCACAAATAAGACGGCGGCACAGACGTGCTGTTTGCTCTGCAGCGCATTTGGGGATCATTTGAACATGTGCATGTTTTTTTTTTTGTCTTGTTGACTCATTTGCACAAGGTTAGCACTAGTGTGAACACCTGTAAGACTCATCCCAGGAGGAACGCTTACAGCTGAGGATCTTCACCGCTTTATACTCAGGTTTTACTGTTTGTTTAAGTTCAGGGTCTGCGGTAGGACTAATCTCGCCATAAGGCATCTCTCTGTCATACGCATTAATTTTCCTCCATTTGTTTGTGAAACATCGCACCTTAAAGTCCAAACTCCACCTATGCATCAACACTAACTTAAACAGTGTAGTGCTAGGCAACGAGTGTATTCATGTTCAAAGCTAGCAATGCCACCATAGTTTATCCATATTATGTATTTGGTTAACCCAACAAGTAGAGGGGTACTTGGTATCAGCTACTGATCAAGTCTAGATATTGGAATCTGGATTAGGATACAAAAAAAGATTCAGGAACATCTCTTAAATGAAGGGGACTCCTTGCAAGGCCCACATCCCGTGTCACAATGTGTTTGCCTTGCTGGAGGGGTCCTTGGACCAGATGCTGATCCTATGTCTCTATGGGCCCCTTATCTGCCTTTGACCCGAGTTCTGAACTCCCAGTGACGTAGGAGGGAGGTGACTTAATAATGATCAATAATATGTTACTTCACAGCCATGTCAGTTGCTTTGATTCCATCCATCAACTTGTCCACAGCACGGATACATTTCTCAGTGTAGCGGCCATTTCCGGCAGCCTGCTATGTTAAGCCGTGGAATAATTCCATGTGGTTCTACAGTTCAATCTCTGTGGTGTGTTTTTTTTTATTTCATGCACATCACTGCAATGGAGAGGAAGCTGCTGGTGGCTCCACACTGACCCCTGTAGGCTGAAATACATACTGCACCACTAATGCTCTATCAGTGGAAGGAAACTGAAATGTAAAATTGAATGTTTTTTTGTATGCTCAAGTACACTCCTTCAAATTCCAATTTGCATGTATTGAAAATAAAATCTTTGCTTCTTGGATAATAATGTAACGTTGACTCGTAAAAGCAGAACACAATCCATCGTTTTTCTTCTAATGTTTTTTTTTTTTAAGACACTTTCATTTTATTCGATTAACAAGCACTTGTGAGGTTGGAACTTTCCTGCTGTCTTGGCAGTTTCTGTGTGATCGGTCTGCTCTCTTATCATTTCCTCAAGTACATCCCACTTAATTATCAGTCCACAAGCGTGGGAACCAGGAGGGGCAAGCAAAGGAGTGAGAAAGAGAAAGAGGGATGAAATCCAGACCGTAAAGGGAAATACATGCATAATGCAGAATTCTGCACATCCAAGGTGCGTCTTGTCAATTCTTTTTAGAATTAACATCATTTTTTTATTTCAAGATTTATTTTTGCCTTTATTTGGACAGGACAGTGGATAGATTGGGAAGTCAGGGAAGGGGAATGTAGAAAATTAAATGCGGGAATGGAGCCGCAGATCGGACTTGAACCCTGGCCCCCAACTTGGAGGCGCGACCTAACCGCTAGGCCATCTGTGCCCCCAAGCTCTCATATTATTTTATGTTGAACAGTTAAGATTCTGTTTTAAATGGTGTGAAATCCATGAGAAATCTATTTCGTCTTTCAACAGGAGAGTTGAAAATCCTGTTGCATCTGTAAACAGGGAGAGATTAGTTTAAAATAAGATACTGAAAGTAAAGTTTCTAAAGTTTAGCTCAGGTGATAGAGCAGGCGCCCCATGTACGGAAGCAACAGCCCTGGTCACGTACGGTCACAGGTTCGACTCCTGATCTGACACTGTTTGGTGTAAGTCCTCCCTCACTCTCGCTCCTCACATTTCCTGTATATTGTCATCCTTCCTGTCCAAATAAAAGCCAAATGCCCCCAAAAAACTTTAAGATAAAGATTAAAAATTGAAAATTGTGTAAAGCCTGTAAGTCTTCAGATGTTTTCTGTGAATCAAATACCTGCTTGACATATCAAAGTGTTATCACCCATCGGATTTGAAATGCACCTGTGTATGGATGTTTTGAAGTTACGTTACCTATGTGGAATAATTCAGCATCAGAGCACTGATTATTGTATGTTCCATCCAGGAAAGGATTCATTTTAGCATAAAGTGAATCATACAAGAAGAAAATCTAATGTTTTCACATGAGGCACAGTGTTAGTGGCTCCAGCTCACACAAAGCAAAGTAATGTAAAACTGTGCTGCCATCTGCTGGTGAGATGATGTATTGTACATACTCTGTATTCCAGTATTTCTATATAACAGTTAAATCAAACAGGAGGCAGGTCAGGAAACCCTTTCCCGATTGTTTCCGACTCTATCCGCTGTCCTGGTGTCTACAAAAAAAAAAAAATAATTAACCTTCAAAAAAGGAGAGCGGGGAGCCGACATTTATTATCTCCCTTGAGACATCTGGATTTGTAGATTTCTTTCAATTCGGCTAAATGCCCTGATGTTTTTTTTTAACTTAATTTGACAAAATTACATGGTCTGACAGCCCTAAAATTGAGGGGAAATGTGCTAGAATATGTCAGAAGTATTTGATGCAAAAGTTCAAAAAGACTATCTTTTTTATTATAGAAGTAGTTGTGGAGAAGACGTAATGAAGATTGCTTGGCTGACAAACCTGACAGGTTAAACACTTCTAAGCTATGATGTGTTTTTCTAATATAAAATGTGTGTTTAATTATGTGTTTTTTGACAGACTATTAGTTGAACATATCATATCAAGATGACAGCAATTTTAACTCAAATGAATGTGTTTTAAAGATAACTGAAAAAAAGCCATGTGTTTTAAAGGCGTAGTGTATCAGTAACTAGGACAAACTGCATGCTGTGATTCTGCTTTGTTACAAACCTGCCCAGCAGTAAAACAGCAAATAAGGCCACTCATACAGAGATATGTGGTGTCAGTGACAGAGACACTAACGGCTGTTTGTTTTACTCACTGATGCCTCCTCTCAGTCATCTCCCTAACAGCAAAAACACATGTTTCAGTGGGTGACTGTGTGTGACACACTATGTAAATGTGTAACTGGATCAGACTCTTCGTTTTGTTTTTATTCCAAGCTGGACGCAGCTCATTCAGTCCAAGGAAACCATGGAGATGATCACATCTGCTACCTATTTATTTCATTTCTAACAGCAGGTATTTGACATAAGGGCCAGACACATTCATCAAGTTTGTGCCTAACTAATTTAAAGTGATAGTTCAGGTTTTATAGGGAAGCCAGTCAGAGTATTGACAAAGCTGTGCTGTGAATTACGGCTGCACGATTCTTGCTTAAATGTGATTCAAAATTTTCTCCTTGAGAATTGAGATCCTGATCTCTCTGATAAAATAAAAAGAATTGCACTCACATAAAAGCACATGCCGTCTAGGATCTTATTGTGTTCTTCTTGATTGTTTCTGCTTTCTTTACTTAAGTTACAGTTTTCATCACTCCAACAGGACTCTTACAGTCGCCACCATTTTTTCTCATCTATATTAAAAAGGAAATAATCTTCAGAAAAGGTAAAGGGGTAATAATGGATTTGAAGTGTCTAAAAATGTAAATTCTGGTTGGCGTTTTTTGTTTTGGATTTTGAAAATTTCAAAAAAATCTGAGAATCGAAAAAGACCAAGTACTTTAAGTTTTCTGTTGTATCTTTCGTCACTACACTGATTTACATAAGTCTTCAAACTGAGGCTCCAACTCAACTATGTAAAGTGACTGCCTCATTCCTGCTTGTCTACACAAATAAGTGAACATGTAAATGCATCTTGTTCTCAACGCGTAGGCAAATACAAGTAAGTGAGCATTTAGACATGAGATCACAGGTTTGCATGATTTGAAAATGGTGAATCATGCAGCCGTACAGTGGATGGGGAATGGATTTGAATTGATTTATTTAATAGGGACGATGCAATTCAGCGTAGTTTCAGTTTCAGAGCAGAAAATTAAACTGATGGGCTGCACCCATAGCTAGAGAGAGTTTATAGAGAGTAACATAAAACCACATAACACTTTATGTCTCGATCTCACTGGGACAGGCACTAAAAGTGGTTTGTCTTTACTAAGGACATGTCATACCTGTGAATCATTTGCCAAAGAGAAATGAGAGAAAATTGAAAATGAGAAACACACTTGAGCCACTTAAAAAGTCCTTTATAAAAAAACATTTAGTTTGACTGTACACTATATTTGAACAACTTTAAGCTCCTTGAGCTCAGCAGCCCCTTTTGTGTTGGGACTATTTCTAATTGTAGCCCTGTATCCCTGTATTGTATTGCAATCAGCCCAATGTGTGATGTCAGCTGTTTGTCTCAGCAGCATTTAAAAGAGACAACAAACACATGAAGGAGAGGGTAATACAAACATAGTCCTGAAGGGTTCTTCAATTTAACTGTTTGTTTTTTTTTCAGTGTAGGACCTTTTTAAGTGTCTAAAGTACACGTTTCTCCTAAACCTGTCCACAGCAGTAAATAGCTACACTTCTGTTTATGTACTCAGGCTGGTTTCTCTGAACAGGGCCCTTCTGACTGTTATCTACTGAACAACCACTATTGATGAGTACACTACACAACCATGCATAAAGAAAATCCCTTTAATTATCTTCTAGGCATTCTAGTATACCAAGTATTTGTGCTTAACAATTTAGCCTCTAGGATTTAAATTCTACTGATTTATTTTCCTACACAACACACTTACTTATATATAAATATATATTTGATACTATGAGATGTAAAAATCCTGGATATGGACATTGAATCTGATTTGATTGTTTTATCCTCCACCTCTGCAGCTTTACCAGTAGAGGGCGACACATCACTGGTTTCCTGATGATGGATATTAATAGCTGAGGGTTGTATGACTGTGTATACATGTACAGTACTGTGAGAGTGTGAGTGCGCTCTACTTACTGGTAACAGTCAGTACGTTAGTCTTGACCTCAGCAGTGATTTGGAGGCGGCCTCTCCTCTCAGTGTGGTCTGTCCCACACAGGCTCGGCACATTGGCCACGCAGCGCTTATGGATATTCATCATACAGTCTGGAAAACCGGACACACACACACACACACATACACAAAAATAGTTTTTCTTAACATGAGGTTGCCAGCAAACATGGAGCTATTTCTGGAGAAAAAGGATAGATACCTAATTTTTTTTTAAGCAAGGTTCATAAACAACATTTTAAAAGAAAATAAAAAAACCTTTGTTGGCATGTACTACTAATCTTTTTTATTATGATGATAAATATTGTTGTTGATGTTAAGTATCATACTGATAATTGAAAAGCCATAGGTCCTGTTAATCTGTCCAAAACCAAAATGTTCTGTTCCTGATACATGGAGGCCATCAGCTAAATGATACAGTGTCTTTGTACTCATCACAGTTTAATCCATCCAAAATTCAATTGTGATTGTGTGGGTTGCAAAGTACTTACGGTCACATCTCATGCCCTGGTGTAAGAGGCCATAGAGCAGAGAGCCACAGTGGTCGCAGAAGGTCGGGCTGGAGTAGGTGTGGATCTTAAACTTATGCTTTGCCCTCGGGTCCTAGATGGAAAGAAAGAACGTATGAACTCAACATATTCAGTCATATCTCCTGTTTCCTCGATACTTCTGAGTAATTATTCAGGTTAAATGCAACACTTTTTCTCAAACATCTGTACTAAACTTAAAGAAAACAGAATGTAAGTCCATTGCATTAAGTGCATTGTTGTTTTTGTTTTTGTTTTTATTTAGATCCCCGTTAGCTTTTGAACAGCAGCAGCTACTCTTCCCGGGGTCAACATGATTTATCATCCTGTTCATAAAAAAATGTACAAAAGATAACTATTTGTTTAGTTGACCCTCTCTCGCCCTTAAGCATTAATCATACCCATCTTTCATCCCCTCTGATAAAGCCTTGAGCAGGGACTGAGATGCAGCAGTGCAGGTAGGCAAGAGTTCAAATCAATCTACACACACACACACACACACACACACACACTCCCACACAACTCTGTGTGATGAAGCCTAGTCGATTGATCCTCAAGGTCATGAGTGAAGGCCTCTTCTCCTGCTTAATGTAAATATATTCCCCATTACACTAAACACTAAATGTATCCTTTTTTTTTGTTTGTTTTAATTACATGTAATTTGGATTGAAAAAAGGAACAACTGTCTTCAATTCCTCTTTCTGGAACACCTGTCAGAAAGTCATAAAGGCAGAACCAAAGGCTATTTCTGTCTCAAGTGTTACGTCTGTGCTTGTGTGACACCTGCAATTACGGCTCAGTGGGCACACACACCTGCACATCAGCACTGTGGTTTCAAAGGTTGACACACAAAAATGCACGCTAACTCTGCACATGTAACTGATGGCCACTTAGGGAGCGCTTATTCACACACAAATGCTGCCACTTGATCCCACGGACGCCCAAACATCCCATCCAGCATTAGAGAGGGATCCAGGCCGAGATGGAGCTGCTGCACTTCACTGTAGGAGTTCAAATACTTCTGCCAAGGGGATCCGACAAAGTAACCAAACATGTAGCTGCAGTTTTAAACATGAATTATTAACGACGTCCAAGTTTCATCTTCTAATGAGCCAGAAAATACAAGCTGATTGATTTCTCTCTCTCTCTCTCTCTCTCTCCTCCGTACCTGTCCTGAAAAATAAAACCCCGATTTAGGCTACTGCTGCTTGAATTATATCCAGCTTCCCCAAGGTGTCTCCAGAAGTGTGTGTTTGTGTGTGTGTGTGTGTGTCTGTTTGTGTGATAGAATGATCGCGTGGGTTTCTGTGTTTAACATTCCTTGTGGTGCATCTGCGTGTGTTTGTTTCTCTGCTGATTCTCGTCTTTTCTCAAGGACAAGACGCACTTCTGCTCGATTTCTGTTCCTCCAGAAAAAAAAAAACAAGAAAAAACAAGGGAACATTGTGCTGCTGAAGCTGCAGTGATGAGCAACAGACAGTGAGTGATACAAGGCTGAGGACAGAGTGCCAGCTTTTTTTTTTTTTTTTTTCAAAAAGTAATGGATGCATGCACCTTGAAAATTCAAGGATTGGTTGGAAAACTCAAAAGTAGAAAAAGGGAGGAAGGAAATTCAATCTTCATCTTTTATAAACTAAACCCTGTGATCCCTTGTCGTGCACGAGAGAGAGAGAGAGAGAGAGAGAGAGAGAGAGAGAAGGTCCACTGTCCGTACACCTCTCATGGCTTTGTTTGAATAATGTTGAGTAGATTAAAGTTGTGTGTTGCAAAACTAAATTAGTTTAGAGGAGAAAACATTTGATATAAATACAAACCTAATATTAAAATATACCCTAAGATAAGAGTAAAAAACAAAAGGATGTGGATCCCCTGCACCCCCTTACTTACCATCTCTGTAGCCATATTGCTAGCATAGCACACAGCTGTCACAATGTTAGACATAACCGACTAATAAACTTCACCTATCAAAAAAAATGAGCATCAAAAAGACAAAGTCAATAAAACACAGACCAGAACAGACCAAAGACAAACAACCCAAATGCTCTCCAAATCCAATGATTGTGATGTTTTGAAGGCGGCACACAAACAGACCTTTTTTTCTTTTAACTTAAAATATGTTGTTTTTTGTTATTTCACACAGTTTGTGTACACTTGACATCTTTTGGTTTCTCCTGCCTACATGTTTCCAACTTCTTTAACAGGAACATCCTCTTGTTTCACTTTGTTCTCCTCACTAAGACCCCACTAAATCCACACAGATGGTGCAGTGTGGTGCTCCTGGACAAACAAGAGTGTGTTGCATGGCGTATGTTGTTTGCTTGGTGTCCGCTCATAACATCAGCACACAATGCCAGAACAGTGACTACCCATTAGTCAGTGCTAACACACACACACACTGTTTTGACTGTTCTTTTGTTATTGTGCTATCTCTTGCTCTCTGTTTTCTTCTTCTTTGTTTTAAATGTTATGTCCATTATTTCCCCTGACAACATCAGTCCAACCCCCCCTCCCCATACACACACACACACACCCGCACACACACACACACACACACACACACACACACATATCCTGTCATGTCAGTCATGATGTTGTTTGACAGGCACAGTGGCAGGTTGACAGTAGACAACACAGAGAGTTTCGGCTCACTGACATAAAAAAAAAAAAAAACCTGTATTTTTGTTGTGTTCAGTTCGCTCTCTCTTCTCGAGTTCTAAAAAAAAGGCTAACTTTCTTAAAACATGGCGACCATTGACTATTTTACAGTAACAAAGCTGTAAACAATCATGTTATTTCATGTCAATTCCATTACGTGAAAAACAAACAACTATACAGTAAAAGAAGATCGAACTTCTATCTCTCCATTTAGATTTTTTACACAGGGCAACAGTTAAGTAGTGGTCAACTTTGACATATTTTTCTGGCTAGCTATGCCAAGCCAAACAGCTGCAACTCCTACAACAGATATACGGGTATGTACATGTTCAAATGGACTAGAAATAATAGTTGTTGTTGTTTTTTTTTAAGTTAGCATTAACAATGAAGTATTAGCTCCTGCTATCCTATTTGCATATACAACTGGTCAGAAAGATGCTGCAGCTTGATTGGCTGTCTTGATATAAGGACACAGGTATAATTTGTGATTTGAGGCCACATGAAGGTAAAAATTTGACTTAGCTTGACTTAAATTTTGTCCAGCAATAGACTATAAAATCTCACGACCAGCAGGGAAATGTATCTTTAGTTAGACTGGATCTAGCTGTCCTCCTGTCTTCTATTTAAATCTCAAACTAGTGGGGCGCAGTGCTTATTACTGTGTTTGTATCCTCATGTCCCAGTCTCTCATACTCACACACACAAGCACAAACACACCGTACACACACTCACTGAGTTCTATACCTTATCAGACTGTGTGCATGAAATGTAGGTTTCATTAGAGGATCTTATCCCTCGACCTCTCCCACAGGGGACCCATTCTATTAACCCAGATCTATAATTGACTTCTTCTTTTAAACATACATCGCTGAGAGAAGAGGAGAGAAGGGGAGGGAGTGAGACGAGGTAAAATGGGAGTGTTGCAAATGAATCTTTTTTTCCTGAGAGTTATTTATTCATCTACATCTGTCTGGTATTCTTCAAACAAATCTCCAGTTTTTTCAGACTCCTGATGTTGGTGACTCATCTCACTCAACATTATTAATATCAAGGACGCGGAGAAATGCTCCTGATTGGCCGACGCCTGAAGAATCATTTTATTCTGGTTTTGAAGAACTTAAGAAGATCATAACACTCAAATACGCCTTCAACAATTTACAATTTCAATCACTGAATCGTTTGGCAATGATGGTCTCTCTTAATCGGTTATTTGGCTTATAGAAAGTAGGAAATTAATCAAATATATCAAACCATGGCATGTACTTCAAATAAAATAAAAAAATCACTTTACTTTTTTTAAGGACATATAAGTAAAAATGTTTACTTTGTAAAATCTGAAACCAGAGAGACTTTTCTTTCAATACTTAATTTGTCTGTTTGTCATAAATATTGCAGACAAATACCAGGACTTTCAAGGAAATATCAAAGTGAAGTATGGTCGAAAGAAAAACACATCAACATCTGGGGTGAATCTAAATTTGTCTAACCAAAATGAAATGATAGCTTGGAGTTTGTCTGTAATTTCCTGTAATTTTTCTTCAATGTTTGGGATCAAAATAAGTCCCTTCATTCATTCATCCATCCATCTATCCATCCGTCTGTCTATCCTTCTATCCATCAGTCCAGCCATCAATACATCCATCCATTTATCCATCCTCCGTTCGTCCATCCATCCAGCCTTCTATCCATCCATCCATCCATCCTTCGGTGAATCCGTCCATCCTGATTCCTGATTTGCCACACTTGACCAATGGCACTGGTTGAGGTCTTGGCCCTATGAGTGTTCTTCTATGTTTAATCTATTCAATGTTTTTCCTTTAGGTCCACACTGTCCTAAACTAGTATTGCATGCACCAAGCTTCTGTTAAAATGTATTGCAACATGTGCAGGAAATTTGTCCAAACGCCAAAAATCTAGGGGCATATCCATCACCAAAAATACATTTGACAGTCAGTGTTTCCACATTAATTGAACAGGAACACCCATACGGCAGTATCAGAGATACCATCAGAGAGGTTTGAGCGTTGGTGTACTGCATGCCCTAAAGAAACAGACTAGAGTTACCAGTTAAGGAGAGGAACCATAAAAGGCCTTGTTAACATTGACGAGACATTACTACTTTCAAGCAGAAACTGCGGTGCCCTCAGTACGACCTGACCCCCAGTTTATGTGGCCTCTACTAAATCCCCCACACCAAGGTTGAGAAAGTGGAGAGAAGAGCCAATTTTATACAGCATGAAATGGTTTAAACTCCCACGTTCCCTTAGCAATATCAGCTTGTATGGAAATTCTGTTGTAGATCTGTCCTTCTACCAGCCTCACTGAGGAGTATAAATGAACTGAGGAGGCTGGAAATGACCCTAATCAAGTCTTTGGGGTCATAATCTAAGCAGCAGCAGCCAGACTGGTAACTTAGAAGAGGTGGACTACCTCACCTCTCCGTGCCTGGGAGGAAAACCTGCTCTCAGGCAATTGCAACTGAGAGCTAGGTTCGATATTGAGTTAAGTTGACCTAAAATGGCACGAGGCAAAGCGATCTGCCCTGAGACTGTACGTCTCGGAAAGCAAGACCAGAAGCTCACCTTTGCGTGAGAGGTCTTTACAATCAGTCGGAGGCTGGATAGGATCATGTGGTCAGCGCTGCAGTAATCTCCATTTACTTGCTAGTGTCCTGGTTTGAAGTAGCTTAGTTACATCCACAGACAGTAGATGATGCAATCAGCTTTGACTGGCTCAAAAAGTTGGCCGTCGCTCCGAGAGTTTATGTCTTTGTGCGATGATAGCTGAGGGGTTCTGAGATTGATACTAGAGGTGCTGCGGTCAGCGGTGCCCTAATTCATTCCTAAGCATCTGCCTTGGCTCTGCATTGGCCTCATGGAGAAAACATCAAATATGTTTGAGACTTATATTATCTGACGAAATGCAGCAAACACACTATTGGTGAAAACTATAACTGTAACAGCTAGCAAACAGAACACTTTCTTTTAGGAACAATTGCACATTTCCCTAATACGGACATAGCTATAATACACCTTTTTTTTTTTTTACCCTGACAGGCACCAACAATAGTGGAGAGCGATAGTCCTCATAAGTTTAACCAAGTCCCAAGACCTCAACTGGTACTGTTGCCTCCAAGACTAATTACATAACTTTTCTTTATAAATTTCTTCATTGACAATTCTCCTGACATTTGGCACTTCCGGTTACTAAAAATATTCCATAAAACAAGAATCTGCCTCTGTGATTCCTGGGTATTCATGGTAGTGTTCTCTTACATATAAAAGGAGGATTTCCATAATCATGTCAAAAAAAAAAAAAAACAACAGAAGGAGGAAAACCGAGGATTTTATTTTCCCTTTGCCCACATGGCAAACCTGAATTTTAAACAGTGTGACTCATCCGAACCATTCATTGTGGTAATTAACTATTTGACAGATGAAGCTGTTGAGGACACATAAATATGCAGCCTGATCATGCTGAAAAAAGGGGGACTGGAACATAACTGCTTCTATGTGTTGACAATAGTATTGTTCTCAAGAGTTCAAAAGGACATTGCTGTGCAGGTGTGCGTGGGTGAACGCATGGTGTCAAGCTGTACAAATCTCACTCTGTTATTAGAAACTCTTGACCATGGTGTTCCATAACATTCCAGGCAAAGTGTAAGCACTGTTATAATCAAACAGCTGTTTCAGTTATCTGTGATGCTCCCTCAGTTAAAAAAAACAAAACAAATCAATCTCGTCCTTTATCTGTTTTTTCCCCTCAATATGTTTACATCACAAAATTCCATTTTACATAACCAATGGAAAACCCTGATATAAAAAATGTCTTTCTGCTCCTATATTTAAACGTGCAGCTTGCTTGGAGCACAGATTCCTGACGTTCCCACTGTGCAGGCGCAAAGGTCCTAAGACCATGAACTCATTAAGGAAATAACAAGGTGGGGATGGTGAGGCCCCGTAATTAAGAGCAGGGCCCCCCTGGGTGGAGTGGCATTTAAATAGAGGATGTAGAGAGCAGAGTAGGATGAAAAAAAAAAGGGAGGGATGGTGGCGAGAGAGGACAGCGGTAGAAGAGAGTTCAATGTAAGGCAAAGATAGAAATCTAAGTGACAGAAAAGGAGGAGAGGGAATGTACAGAAGGAAGAAAGGGACGAGCTATGAGGTGACTAATGAAACAGGATACTGCTGTGTTCAAAAGGTTGTTTTCCTGCATTTAAAGGAATGACTTAAAGGGAAATTATGGTGTCGTTAACATGGCATATTATCCATAAATGTGCACTTACTACCTGCAGAGATGCACAAACAGTTTATTCTTCCCAGTCTCTGAAAAGTTCTTTAGTGTATAACCAGCGTGACGTTGACATTTAAGAGTAATAACCTTCACTGTGCACTTGCATGAATCTAATTTTTAGCTAGCTACAAAGCAGTGGATGAATCAATGTGAAACAGCTGCCAATGAGTTATTACAAGCACGACATCGTTTGTGTTCTTGAACTAGAGAGATGTGCTCCATCTGTTTACAAGAACAAATTATCGACACAGAAATAAATCATTTTAATACTAAAATCTGTAGATATTGAGGAAGAAAAACAAGAGCTTAAGTCTTTTTGTTTGAGAATCTTTAGGGTGTATTGGGATACTCGACCATGGCCCTGACTAGAGAAGTGAAACAGTAAGAGGAAGCCAAACAGTGAAGGCCAGTGTTCCCTCTGGAGGCGGCTCACTAAGTGCACTTGTCAGACTGACAAAGGGCTCTCCAGAGGGAGGGAAGACATGGGCGAGGAACTTCAAGACCCCAGAGGTTTGAGAGAGGAGGAGGATGGCATCCTGAGAGGGCTCTCAAGAGAAGAACGGAGACTAATGTTGTCATCCTAATAGAACAGCTTAGAGAACGGACTCACATTTAAAGAATAGAAATCAGAGACAGACACTCATTAACATAGAGTGGATGAGATTACGTCCAAAGTATCACTTCAAAGTATTCTTGTTATAGCAGATGGGCTGGTCAAGAGGATGTGAAGATGATTAATAAGCTACGACACAAGACTTATGATACATAACAATGATGTGTTTATAATAGGGGGTTGGATTGGATATGGATCTGTTTGATTTGTTTGAAACTGTGATTTGTTATTCATAAAGCGGATATATATGAAAGTGTATGGCTAACACAAAACACTACACAACATATATAACATATAAACCGATGCACAGTATCTTAAACATGTTGGTGTTGTATTGTTGTCACTGCCGTTTTCAGGGATTTCCATCTACTTACGTACACAGGTAGGGCCATTTAGAATAGATTGATAAAATGGTTTTCTGTCTTTCAGCAATTCTGTTGGTGGGAAAAATCAATTGAGGGGATTTATTTCCTATTTTGTACTGAAATGATTGAGACCTACTGTCACTTGTAATTTCTCTGTTAGTTAGACAGTATACATTGGGGTCACTTGTTGATCAGAGTTGTGTGATTAGAGGTCTGGGGGGGGGGTTCTGAATATTTGGGCTGTGGCAGTCTTCAGGTTGGGGATACAGCATCTTTTGTTTTCTTTATTTTTAACTGCAGGTCACTAATCTGTAAATCTTAGTTACTAACCACATATTTTCCTGGGAGGTCCTGAGCTCTCATGTCTCGTAGGTTCCCCAGGATCATTGTTGGGGACTTCCTGCTGCTGTGAACCCCCTCCTGTTTGTCCCTATCCCTTTTCCTGCATCTAATCATCTCCCCCTAAGGAAGGTTTTTCTTGCCACTGTAACTTTGCTAAATGTGCTAAGTGCTCATGATGGATTAACGTTGGGTCTTTGTAATACAGCAATGCGTAAGGTTTTCTACCTGTTTTTGGAAAGTGTCTCGAGATGATATTTGTTTTGAATTGAATTGTTTTTCTGTGTCTGATGATACAGACAGTCAAAAGGCGAATCAGAAGGAATAAAGAGATAGATGCTATTCAACCTGGAAACTGGTGATGAGGGCTTAAAAAGAGGAAATGTCCTCATTACTCTCCAGCATGACCATTTGAAAAGATTGGATTTATCTGTACTCACATCTGATGCAGGTCCTTTATCAGCGCCCGGACAGGAGAAAGTGACAAACTCATGGCACCGTTTGTGGACCACAAAACAACACACTGTGGAGGAAGAGAGAGAGAGAGAGAAAAAGTTATTGAACCACATTTGCAAAGGTTAAATCTTTCCACACACGACCCACTGAGAAACTGATAATGTTACAAAGAAACTCAGACAGTCTCCCCTTGAAACACAATCTGAGCCTATGCACTCTCTTACATCACGGGTTAGTTCGAACTTTGTAGACATATTTCTCAAATTTGAAGTAACAAGATGAATTTTTGTCCATCTGAGTAAGAGCAGTTATTTTTCTCTCTCTGCGCCGTTGAAAGCAGCTCTCATTTAACCTCTGAAAAGCTCTCGTGTTGATAAATGTACAGAGGGATGCTGCTTGTGTCTTAACACCCACACTCCTCTTATTGTTGATCCTGACTCATTGTCAGCAGCTTTGCATAAAAGCATCTTCCAAATATCTAGATTAGAATATAAAGAAAAAATGTCACCTCATATTTATGTTGCCGTGCAGACAGAGTGACTTCTTATTAACCGAGCAATATTGTTGAGAAAGTTTGCCCTCAAGTAATCTGCCTTGACTACAGATTCCTGCTTGACTCTTTTCTCCCATGGCACAGATTTATTGGAAATAACAAAAACACACATGGAAGATTAAAGAGAAGCTCTACACAGAGAATCTAAATGAGATGAAAAGCAGAACATGATTGCACTTTTCATTTAGGTAACGATCAGTGGTGCAGGAAACATGCAAACGCTTCGATGCACAGCGAGTCTTCTCCACCCTGATCAGTGTCAGGTACACTGACAAGCACGACGAACAGGAGGGCTAAAAATATCTCACATACACACACACACACACAAGCTCAGTCCACATGATTGTATATTTACACTGTGTGTATGTCTGAGTGACAAATACAGAGTGTGGTGGTATCAGCGGCAACAACAGGTTAGAGAGCGACCACTGAAACCCTGAAAACATGTTTGAATCATCTTGCTCTTAAAGTGGATTATGGAATCTCTTAAGCTTTATTTAATGAATGAATAAATTAAACGACTGACAGACAAAATAAATCACCCATTATTTTGACAATCACCTAATGATAATGTAATTCTTTAAGCGTCACTGTTTCTTGTTTCATCTTCTCATTCGTAAAGATTTGATGCTTTTCTGTCTTTTTTTGTGATGGTAGACGAAAAGAGCTTCAGATTTTTAAGCTAATGCAAAGACGGTCACTGTCGAGACGTTATTTTAGACTTAAACAAAATGCCAAACAGGCATTTAACAAATTGCAAGACGCAAATAAGTAGATCGATCAATAATAGCAGCAAAATAAAAGAAGTTGCAGCACAAGAATAAAAAGTGATATATGTGAACGTAACCTCTGGCTGGAAATTAAAAATAACTTGAACCTGAAAGATTAATCGGCCATATTAGCTGATCCAGTGACTATAATTATCGGCTAATGTTATCGCAGATAAGCGCCGATATTACTAGATTTATTCACCAGTCAAACAGCATTACATTTAAGCAAACTATAAAGTTCTCTTTCTGGTTGTCACCAGCAGAGTGTGCTATACTGATTACAACAATCAAACAAGCATTATCACTCTCCAGTTGAGTGACCATCTTGTCTTCAATCAAGTGTTTGATAACAACATTTGAGGGATCAATGCAATACATGTGTAGATCTACAGTATATCTGTCTTTCTCTAAATAGATCTAAGAAAGATATCAGCCAATATATCAGTATCTGATTTTTTTTCTCCTCCCAATATCTGTATCGGCGGCAAACTCCCGGTCGGGCTCTAATACAGACAAGCCAATAGTTGACTTTATCCACGCTGAATTTAAAAATGACAACATTTAAAACACTGATATGGAGTTTTTGCGAGACATTTTACTTGTTGTATATTCTATACAATATAATATTCTGCTTTAATCAATGGTGCTGACTCTTAAAGATAAAGAGCCGCATGTCTTTTAAATTTCAGACGCACTTTCTCACAACATCAGTTGTCTTAAGTTTTGCTGTTGACTTCCATTCCAAAAGGACAGCACCCCTAATTGTACTTTAACACAGACGTTTTGACCGGACGCTCTTCTTAAGCAACGTAACAGGAGATCTTCACAAAATACACAGGTTAGACCACTTACACAAACAATCCCCAACAGGTTCAATCTTTACCAGATCGTATTTGCATCATAAAAACTTTCTACTCCAAATACGTGGGAACACTCTGGACTGCCTCTTTAAAAGTTTTAGCAGCAAAATAATATACTGACTGCTCAAAACTTCAGTGTATCAAACTTGACTGATTACTATAAAAGGCCAAATCAACAAGTAGAAGTTTAGGACTCACAGTTTTAAATTAGTGATTTTTTTCTCAGCACTGTCAGTATCATGATCAGATCATAAGTCTCCACTGTCTCATTTACATATGTAGTGAACAGCTATTCTCTCATACTCCATCTCTTTCTTTTCTATTGTCGAACTTGCAGCGATCACAGGGGTTATAATTAATACAAAGACACATGCACACGCACAAATCATGTGCACCTCAATGGTACTTCACTCCCACGCAATATCCTCTCTTTGGTCACACCACCCACGCACTGCAATGATATCTCACACACACACACACACACACACACACACACACACACACACACACACACATAAACACACACACGTATAAACACGCACAGACACACACACACACCACCCACACGTTTCAGTGATATTGCAGATTGAGCACACAGCGTGAGGGTGCAGGGATGAAGGTAGAGATAGAAACGGTAAGAGCTGTGTGCACATATTGCTTCAAGGCAGCTGCTCTTTTGGAGAATTGGAACTGAATCCCTAACACACACACACACACACACACACACACACACACACACACACACACACACACACACACACACACACACACTGATCACAGAAATAGAGATGTGCGCTATCCAGGACTTGGGGCAACCTTTGGGCCTAAACAAAATAAAACACCTCAGCAAAATATAGTAAGGCAAAATAAAACAGGAATTCAAAAAGAGAGGTGGATTATTGAATGTCACAAAGTCAAGACCAGCTTACACACGGCTGTAAAGAACGAGGGCAGAGGTGTAAAGACTGAAATTGATTGTAACAACTGTTCACAGGGATCGTCTCCCGCTGTGAGGTTCATATGTGAACAGCCAGGTCAGGAGAACATCCGGAGCAGTCTTCCTGAACTGATCTAGAAGAACTGCATACGTGAAAACAGCTCTACAGAAAGTGTGAGTGCTATCAGTTTAATAAAGCAAAGGTAACTATTAGTGTTACATTTGTAGTACAGAACCTTTTGTTTACATAGAGCTAGTTACACACATTTAAATATAAGGAAGTGTTCACTTAGCAGCACATTCCTGTATTTGTGTTTCTCACTTTGAAGCATTCCTCTACATGTTGCTATGTTAACTTGGCCCAGCCTCTGCTCCACCTAAGGTTACATTTGTAAGGATCATTTTCAAGGCAGATATGAGCTGCTAAAGTTAAGCTGCAGGACCACACCCTAAACACTCCTCTTCCTGTTGTATGTGTATGCATCCATGCCTGTTGTTCTTGTTTTCTGGGCCCCACCGTTTTCCCTCGGCTGTCATGGAACACCGATAAACCATCCAGCAACTCTCCAAAATGAGAGAAGCGTTTTTTTTCTGTGAAGGGTCAAAAATCAAACGGTGCATTAAGAAAGCACGCTCACTGCCTGAATCTCTCACCAACCTCCTCCTCCTCTGCTTCCCTCTGCCCTGCCGGTGCCCTCCGTGCACTTTTCTCTCAGTCTGACTCAGGTGTAGCTGGCACCCTGCCTGTGTGCCTTTATTATTCATTGTACAGCATGGAAAGCAAACACACACACTGCAGTTTGATATACTAATACAGGCACAGTTCCAATTTATTTACCTCAAAAATGTTATGCACCTGTTTCTCTTTTGTCCTCTCTTTTACAGTTACATCACAGCAGCTGTGACTCTGGATCAGGTTACTGCTGCTGTACACGGTCATGTAGTGAACCTGTAGAGTCTACCTGTAACACTGGCTGGGTGTTAAATTACACTACACACAGCAGTTAGCACCTCAGGAATCCTTCCCCAGCCTTCAGAGAGGCACACTCTTAATACTGCCACACAAATAACCTTTTAAAGACAAGAGTCCTTCAGCAAGCGGTCCTCATTTTGTTTCTGCAGATAAAACCAGCTATGTTTTGTCACTTCAATATTTTCCTCCCAGTTCCTCTGTGTTTTTGTGACTTGAATAACTGCCATGCAAGTGTGAACATGTTCTTATGGTGACCCTAAAGCAATGATTTTAACAAGTCTTTTTCCCCAAGAAACAGCAGGTCACAGCACGCACAGGGCAGTGTGGGCATGTTTTTCTCCCTATGTATGTCGTATCCAGTGAAACAGCAGGAAAAAGGCCACATTTATCCTTAGAGAAGAAGCTGAAACGACTTGTCAATTATTCAGATGACAGGAAATCTGTATTTTTTTAGATAATTAATTAGAAGTCAGTTTTTGCAGTCACAATCAGAAGAAAAAAAAAAAGTCCCAAATTCTAGGAGGCGGCTCGTGGCTCTGCTCTCACTCTGCTGTTGTGAGCAGCCGTGCAAACCGAGACATCAAACATGTCAGAAACTCCTGTGGCCGCTCAGATCCGCTGATCGGGCTGTGATTGGCCGTTGTGCCAAGTGTGAGAATACTGCATGACCGACGCCAGCGATTGGGTTACTCATCCCAACTTCAATATTAGCGGCAGAACTTGAAATTCGGGTCTAAATCGGGCTGAAATAACAATGTATGAGCGGCTTAAAACTACGCTACTGTACTCCACACTTTTCCAAGCCGAGCTTCATTACACCATGCATCGCTAACGTCAGTCTACTCGAATTATCCAATGTGCCACACTACTCTATGCTATGCTACTTCAACCTATGCTAATCTACTCAACATTACCCCGTCATATGCTATGCTACACTTCTCTTTCCATCTCTTCTCCCTTTTTTCAGTGAACCA